TAACTCTTGTTGATTGTTAATCCTTTTTAGTGGATTCTTTGCTGAAATACGACTAAACAATCCCTTCATAATCGAGAATGAGGTCGATGCTCTAACCGAAACTAAGTTTGCTTGTCGGCTTAGTTAATATGTGAGTATCATCATTTTACTTATATTTTGTTAGTGAGTAGCATCAATTAAAATGTAACTTACCTTTTAGGTGAATTGATATTAGATTTATAGATAGAGAATGCATAAGTAATTTCCATGATAGACCAGTTTTAACGATCTTGCATAAGGTTCATTGCTTACTCGTCAAGTCGTACATGGGTTATTTTTTTAATGGGTGATGAATGCATAATTAGCATAATTTTTATGCTCTATTACAATGAACTTTCTAATGTTCATTATTTTATATTTAGTTAATTAAGATCGGGATAATGATATTGGGTTTTGCGAAAAAATGATGAATTGAAATAAAAGAACCCCAAATTAAAGCAAGGAGAAGAAAAGTAACCAAGGAGGCTTAGAAGAGCCATACTACCATGCTATTTATAAAGAAAAATAGCTACTATTCATGTGACAATAATGAAGAAATTATGTGGATTCCTAAACAATAAAGCCACATGAGTAATAGCTTTCCACACGACCAAAGGAAGGAAACCCATACGGTCATGTGTGTAAAAACCAAAACATCTTCCATGAGAAAATAAGCGAGCACATAAGCATAAGGCATTCCATAAAAAATGCATTGAAGAAAGACACACTCGTGTCTCACTAAATAGGAAAAAGTCCACACAAGCAGAGGAAAATTACACGAGCATAAAGGACAAACCCACATAATTGTATGCGAGTGCCAATCAAACCATGCAACACCAATCTTCCAATTCTCCAAGTCGTGTAAAATGAAGAATAGGCCATATGTCTTTACTACACAAATTGTGTGACTATTTTGGTTGACACATATGTGATGTAATCTTACTTCTAGCTATAATAGTGATGTTAGGGTTTTATTTTAAGATTCCAACTTCTAGCAGACCATCATATTTAGAAAACTCTTATTTGTAATCCATTATGAATAAATAAATATCTATCTTGGTTGAACCAAGTTGAAAATTTTGGTTAAATCATTGTGAGATTACAAGTTTTAATTCTAAACTTATCTTGTTTGAGTATTTTATGTTTTTTATATGATTGATTTATGATTATGTGATTAAATTGATTAGAGTGCATGCTAGTTGTTTGACCATCTTAACCTATTACTAGTTAAGTATTAAAGTCCATGTAATTACTTATCTAAACTTACTTATGGTAGTAACTAGGGGTTGATGATTATTTTTCACAATTTCGCTCAATCCCTTGGAAAACATAGAATTAAATTACACATTTCTAGCATTTAGAAGGGTGATTTAGCTTCAATTGTTTTTCTCTAATTAATATTGTTATGAGATTAAATCTATCTAATAGGTTGTTCAATAGTCGGAGAATTAATCAATTGTCATATATTTGGTTAACGACTCGGTAAGGAAAGATTGGGATAACATACATATTATTGTTATATAGGGAATATTCATATTTAGGATAGGTTAATAATTGAATTCATGATTAGCAATCAAACCAAAAATGGATATTGAAATTCAACCAAGGCTTCCTTATTATTATGATTTTTAGTTATTTTAATTGTTATAAACACCTTAAACACAAATCCCTTATTTACTTGTTTTGCACTAAAGAGCAATCAATCGAGAGAAACTATTAATTAAGTCACTTTTCTATGGGTTCGACCTTTACTTTCCCTATCTATTCCATTATGGTTAGATTTTGTAAGGATAATATAAATTACTAATTTGTTAACGGTATGACACGCCATTAGATTTGGTGTTGTTATCGGGAAGGATAGTGTTGAATTAATTATTTCTTGGTATTTTGACTATTTTTATGTTTTCATTAGGTTGGTATATAACCATGTCGCAATCGGATGATATGATTTTCAACCCCAAACTAGAGAAAGAATTAAGAAAATTGAGGAGAGATAGACTAGCTTCGATAGAAAGGATTGAGTCATCAAAGAGAGTAGTTTCATTGGACATAACAGTATGTTCTCAAATTTTTATCATCAAGTGATTCTAAAGGAGAGATAATGGTCGTAAACGAGGCAAACAAGACTTTAAAAAAGTCGATCGCTCTTGACCTTAATTAGTAGCTCTTATGTTTCGAGTTTCCTAATCTTGATGTTACATTTGAATTAAAATTAAGACTGATACACTTATTGTCGAAATTTTGAGGCCTTACTGGAGAAGACCCCCATAAATATCCGAAAGAGTTCCATGTGGTCTACTTAACTATGAAACCATAAGGAGTATCAAAGGAGCAAGTTAAATTATAATCATTTCTTTTTTTATTAGATGGGGATGCTAAGGACTAGTTATATGATCTCCTATGAGATTCATTAATTCATGAAGCATAATGAAGTAGGCCTTCTTGTTGAAATATTTTCCTACTTGGATAGCTGTGCAAATACAAAAAGAGATCTGTGATATTAAATAATTCAATAGAGAGATATTGTATGAATATTGAAAGTGGTTCAAGAAGTTGTGTGCTAACCGCCTAGACTACTAGATTTCGATCAACTACTTATTATATACTTTTATGAGGGATTGCTTCCTATGGAGAGGAGCATGATAGATACTTGCTAGTGGATGAGCACTAGTAGATAAAACACCCGAGACTCGTAAGGATTTTGATAACCAAAATAGTTATAAATTCGTAATAGTTTGGTGCGAGGGTTGATCACGCACGAAAAAGGATAAATGAAGTCAATATATCTAGCTTAGAGTAGTAAATGTTTGACTTGATTTCATTAGAGGGACAAATAATTATGGGAAACCTAAAAGTTGTTAAAGCTTATGAAATTTCTTTGATTATAAGTCACACCATGGATGCGTGGCCAACGGTACATGAAGGGCACATTGAACATGTTAATGCTATTGGGAATTTTGAGGGTGGTCAATGAAGACCTTATGACCTTTTCTCCAATAACTACAACCCCGGTTGGTGAGACTACCCTAATCTAAGATATAGAGACAACCAGCGAAGATGGGTAGAATTTCTACCACCAAAAAAAATAAGGCTATCAACCCAAGCTTTTTCGGTTACATGCCGCCCAAACTCAAATAATTTATTGGAAGAAATGGTAAATTATGTGGCATTGAGTACAAAGCAATTCCAACGAAGAGACAAGATTCGAATTCGGAATCATAAAAATCGGATGAGTTAAACTGAATCTATTTGTTTAGAAACTCGTAGATGATATTGGCCTTGATAAAAAAAATACAAATGAACAAAAAAACAAAACCCTCTATGGTACGTGTATCCTTCTTCTCTATCTTTTTGTTTTTTAAACATATTTGATATCAAGGTTACTTAGTAATACCTTTTTTTTTTTTAATATCCTATTTTGTAGAATGCAATCGCTCCAATTGAACAAGCTAGTGGTAAAGGTTCAAAGAAAAGAAAAACTAAAACTAATTCATTTTCTCACTTCTCATTTTTTTAAGTGCCTAGATTTTTTTTTTTTCACAATTCAATTTCAACCACTTTTTGATAACAAATAGTTGTTAACCATCCAAACTCTTAATGTGCCAACCAAAAGGAAGAATGTTGATAAATCTATTAGGATTACTAATTCGACAACCAAGCCAAATCGAGTCCTTCATATTAAGCCAACATACTTACCAACGACGGTTGCCACCTAGGTATTATTAAGTAGTGCTTGCCAAGTTTTTTTTTTTTTTTTTCTATATGACAATCTTTGCCTACCGAACTTCGTTTCATGGCAAACAAGTGCATGTCACATCTAGCGATTTTGTGCTAAATTTTGATGAGTTCTTCTATATTCCTTTGTAGAAAACTACTCCAAAAAGGATGAAAGAAAACCTGCGACCTCCAACTTCGATTAGAAAAGAAGTAAGTCCAAAGTTATATCGGCTTAAACAAGTGTAAGCAAAGCAAAACCAAATCCAGTGGTTAGGCTCAACGCCTTAGCTAGCCCACCGGTAGTAAAACGAGCAAACATGTAGTTAGTCGGTCAAAATCCCATTTTGAAGGTAATATTTGATCTTTATATGATGATCAATAACATAGTTTTTTTATTACAATTCTAACCAAAAAAAAAAAATTATGGCAGGCTTTGCTTGTGATGCCATTCGAGAAACATGAAGCTAGAAATTCTCAAAAATCCTCAAGACAATAACACAACCATAAGTATAGAATAACACCAAAAAATACTTCAAATTTTATTCATCAAAATTCATCTACCCAAAAGCTAGTACAATTGTTTATGTTTAAAATCTAGAAAAAAATACTAAACATAAAAACTCAATAAAATCCAAAGATTATGATAATCGTTGAATCACGGGCTTGATTTAAATTACATAATAATGACAATTAAGATAATCAAAAAAGAAATCTCAAGATAAATTAATTTTGTCCCATGTCAAATAACCTTCCAGATTTCATTCAAAGTTTGCGAATGCTAAAACCATTTTCAAAATAAATAGATTGATAAAAATATAGTTAATTATAATTTAATTTTTGTAGTCTATCAAAATTAATTAGTAAATATGTAGTATTAGACATAATTAAAGAGTCCCTTATTGATGAATGTTGACCATTTCTAATTTATCTTTTATGTTCTAAAAATGCCTTTTTTTTCTAATAAAAAATTTCACCTTATGTACTTCCCTTCTGTTTTTTTCCTATTTATTCAAAAAGGAAAAAGAAGTTGAAAAAGAATATGAAAATTGAAATAAGAAGTAAGTTATAAATAGATTTAAATTTTTTAATCGCGAAGATTAATTAGTGGAATGTAATTCCAAGGTATTAGAAAAAAGGCTTTCATTTCCTTTCGTTAATTAATGAAAGCCCTAAATGGTCTGTTTCACAAGAACAAAAATAAAGCCCATCTAATCTGCTATTAACTAAGAACACTGAAGGTGGGAAAATTTATAAACGCATAAATTCTAGTGTTGTGTCTGCTCTCGTTGAGAGTCGAACTCAAGACCTCCACCTTGCAAAACAGGTGCCATAACCGCTGAGCTACGAGAGTCATCGCTGAATTTTATCCAACTAGTAGTTTGAAACATTATTGAGACAAATTTTTGGGGAGCTTCGACGTTAAGATTTCATTTCTGTTTCTTGATGCTGTAATTTGAGCCAACAGTAAAGAAAAATAGTAATTTTCCAAATCACATGTCAATACCAACATGATTTGTTTGAAAAAAAAAAAAAAACAGGCGGATATCAACATCATGCCAGTACTTCCTATGTGCAGGACATGCACCACCGTCCTCTGCCTAGTTCAAGTTTTGCATTTGCAAGTAAAAGAAAAGGAAAGGGCAAAAATGGTGATCTTCTTTTAAAGAACAACCATAAAGTTGATTGGCGAAGAAATGCAATTGCGCGCCAACTAATCAAACATTTTTGGCAAGAACTGGCTTAGGAAAAAAAAAAGACTGGAGAACTACAGAAAGATACGGAAGCCACACAACGCACCCCGTATTACTGAATTCCCAGTAAGATATACTTTCGTATGTGATAAAACCGAAAAAGCATTTTATACCTCTGCGCTACCAGCTAAAAAGACATTCGTGCACACAACACAGCAAGAGACAGAATCAAAGTAGTCTATTTTATAAGAGGGACCACAAAACATATAACGGTCCCCAATGTCAATTCAGTTTTATCAAATGTCAGGCTCTGTATTCCAATATATACCGGAGGTAGTCGAGGCCAAAGGTAAGCAACCTACTTAACACAAGTGCTTTAGGCAACCTACAAATGATTAACTTAGCAACAGGCAACTCTCCAGCTTCATCAAAGATGAACTTGAAGCTTCCAAAAAAGCTGCAAAAGTAAATAAAACTTAAAAGTGAAAAAATCGACAGCTTGCTGTTTCCCGAATTCTGAAGGTAATGGAAATAGGTAAATAACCTTGGAATGTTAGAATGATGAGGTGCCCACTGAAGAGTAACCTGCAGCTCTCATCTCTTTTAAAGTTCCAGACAACCAGTCCAAGCCCTCATAAAGTCCATCTCCCCTGAGAGCGCAAGTACCTTGTATGTGCCATTTTCTGTTCTTAAGTTCGAAAAGGCCTAGTCCTTCGCATACTTCCATTGGGGTCATTGCTCCTTTCTGAACAAGCAAAATCGAGTCCAACATATAAACATCAGACGCAATAAATCAACACATATTTGCAGTTCAATGCAACACACTCTCACTGAATTCCGAGGCATGCTTATGGAAAATCTATTAAGAATGATACAAATTACTATAGTGAGATATAAATATAGCAGAGGCTGGGGCGTGATGCAAATAGAAATGGACAAACAAATGAACCTCAACATAAAGAATCTACTCCTTTCAGCTTTTTCTAGTTTGTGTTCATTTTGGAGAGCTTTTGCTCTTCATTTCATCTGTTTGTATATAAAATTGATTGATATTGTTTGTCTCAAATTAATGAACATTCTTATTCCAATTTTAAACTATGTAGCCATGGAAACAACCATCACAGAAGCTAAGAGTGCACATCAATACCATGTTCTCCATCACTACTGCTGCCACCTTTTGATGACCATTACAACCATTTCTGCCGGAAAATCACATCCACCACATCAAAAACTAATGCAAACCACCATCTTTACCGAACCTCCCATACAACCTCCAGCACTCCCACCAACACCATCATGAGACTTGGAATTTTCATAAAAAAACAGAAACAGCAATCTGCTTTGGTTTGCAGTAAAAAATGTTTGTGTGCTCATAACAAATCAAAACAGGAAAAAACCAATGTCAGGAGTGGGGGAAAGGAGGGGATTGAAAGACATGCAAACAGGACGCAAGGCATCTAACCACAGTTTCATTCAGATAGATTGGCACCTTTCTCTCCATTACCCATCTCAATGCTATTATCTAAGGCCAAAAGGCCACATAAGATAAAAGCAAAGACTAACTCCAATATTGAAAGTGTAACAGATTATTTAAATCAGCTCTAATATAGCAGCTTCGTTTCACCTTGCAAATTTCTAGAGTAAAAAATCTAAGTGCCAAGAACTCTTCAGCAAGCAAAGAGGCTTGAAGCATCATGGAAGAAACAAGTCTGGGAATGCATAATTACTACTTGCATTTAGTGCAGTTGATAGGCTTAGCAAGCAGTGAGGCAGTGAAGTATCTTAATCAAGTCCGTACTGGATAATTTCATAGCTTTACGTTATGAATTTTACTAAAAATTAAAGAGGCTTCACCAATTGCTTCTCTTGTTTAATAGAACAAGAGATTGATCTGAAACAGAAGTTTCCAGACCTGTATATTTCCAAAATAAGAAAATTTTTTCAACTTTCTAGCTGTACATTGCCAACTATTTAAGTTTGACATAAAGTTCAGATATATCTTTTCTGACAAAGAGTCTTAATATTATCCTGATCTCTCAACAATGTTCTCAAGGTATCATATCTGGATTTGAAACCTTTTTTTTGCAATGTTGTCTGAATGGAAAAAAAAAAAAAGGCTGCCTTATCTTTCACAAACGAATATCATCCAGAAGAAGTAAGAGGAAAGAAATACCATCTAAAAAGTTTACTAAACATAAATACTCATTTACAACCTAAAGAAAAGATCGAGTACCACTCAAATTAATATTCCATCTTTCATTAATCTCACATTTTTAAGAGAAGCATGCACGATTTGGTCATTGCTCAACGGACGGTCATCTTGAGAAATATACAGATGTCAGCATTCTAGCAACCAAATAAAGGATCAAAGCCTTGGGCTAGCTACCAATAGGACACAAGCTAGACTTTGCGATCTATTCATGCAGATATGCTAAAAAGTAGGGCTGTCACAAACCTCCTTCCAATTACCCACATTGATGAGCTTATAATTGGGTAGTGAACCATTAATCTCCGAGACGAATGTTCTGGGATAGGATAGTTTTCCTTTCTACTGTAAGATATCATGCTTCAGGATCTTTTAGGGGAGTTTTGTTAGCTGATATTCAGCAGCATTGCTTTTATGCTTTTATATTTTGGAGTATGTCTTATTATCTATCATGATTTTGCAATTCTTTTTAGTCAGCTAATAATATGACCTTTAATCGAAAAAATAATCAGGTAATGGCTTTTTTTTAACTAATAACACAAATGCGGTGAAATTTACCTTGATTATAGCTTATCCGATAAATTACTGATGTGGGTAATGCACAAAGTAATCTCCGAGACAAATGTTGTGAGATAGGATAGTCTTCCTTTCTACTGTAAGGTATCATGCTTCAGGATCTTTTAGGGGAGTTTTGTTAACTGATATTCAGCATTGCTTTTATGCTTTTATATTTTGGAAGATGTATTATTATCTATCATGATTTTGCAATTCTTTTTAGTCAGTTAATAATAAGACCTTTAATCTAAAAAATAATCAAGTGATGGTTTTTTTTTTTCCACTGATAAAACAAATGTAAGTAGAATTTGCATTGATTATAGCTTATCCGATAAATTACTGATGTGGGTAATGCACAAAGCTGGAAAAAAAAATGATACTTTTCTATATGAAACATGATAATGGATCACCTGAACAACAAATAAAATCAGGACAGTAACAATTCATGTACAACTTCATCAGACAAGTAATCATACATGAATACCAAATTGCAATGCATTGTTTCAGTCAAAGCAAATATAGAGAATCACAGGACAAGAAATTAGCACAACAGGCTCCAGAATGCAGACACAGCAAAAAGTCCGCACAGAAATGGATAGACATGGTAATACTAATAATTGTAGCAGGTAACATGACTTTGTAGTTCTGTCTTTTGAATTATGATTATAAACTTGTGCTAAACTTTTATACCATCTCTACTCTCCATCTACATCAAAAAGATAGAATCGTCTCTATGATATTGTTCTATTTTGCAAGATTGCAATGGTCAGACAGTTTGTATCTGTACAGGACACTGACTTGGACATTTCTATTCGTATGCTTATTAATATCATAAGTATACATGTAGCTCATCAGAATCACTCAAGAAGTCATCCTCATTTAATGAGTTTTGTGTGTGGGAAAGCATGTCCAAAACCATTAACAGAACTTACCATGTCCTGTTTGTTGGCAAACACCAAGATTACACTGTTGAGCATAAATGGATCTTTGATAATGGTCTGAAAGAAAAGATGATGGTCAACATAGAACTCTTTCTAACATCAGCGTGGTAAAATCCACATACCTTTCTGAATATACAACCTGAAATTCTGCCTTTGCTTTTCCAATTCTCTCTCGATCCAATGAATCAACAACATATATCTGCGTAGAGAAATATATTAACTACTGCATCAGACCTGAAAACAAGGAACAAACTACCCTTCTGCTTCAAGACTAAGCAGGTGACTTGCTCAGATTCACTACAGAAGTAAGCAGATCAATGCGAAGAGAAAACTGAGATTTAAAAACAAATAATGAATTGGAAGGAGCATAGCTTGTCAAAATAAGACATGCAGACAATAGCCATTACCAGTCCATCAGTGTTATTGAAGTAATGCCTCCAGAGCGGCCTTAATTTCTCTTGTCCACCGACATCCCAAACGGTGAATACGACATTCTTATACTGAACTTTCTCCACATTGAACCCTATGGGAGATTAGGAAGAATCAGTAAGCATATAATAACAATTGGTAGGTCTATATATTAAGTGTTACATCCATTGAATCATAACTGTCAGCACTGGGTTTCATCAAAAACACCAAATAGATAACAAACGGATAAACCAAAAAATGATTAATAAACAAAAAGCCCACATGATAACACAGGGAGAATAAGGGGAAAAAGAAGAAGGAAACAGTGAATATTAGAGAGAGCCAAATATAAGCATGCATATTATGCTATATGATATGTGATTAAAAAGAAGAGAACAGTGTTAAGATACGATTAAGTTAAAAAAGACCTGATGCAAAAGCCTTAATGGAAAGAAAATGAAGTGAGTAACTATAAGGAAAAATACCAACCAATAGTAGGGACAGTAGATAAGACTTCTCCAATGTGCAACTTGTAAAGTATGGTAGTTTTACCAGCTGCATCAAGTCCCAGCATCACAACCTACGGCAGCTCCAAACCAAGCGGAAAAAAGATGAGAGTGAAGCTGGTAAAAGAAAGAAACGTAATAACTAGAACATAAAACATATGTCGGACTAGGCACCGCACAATCACATATGATAAACACAAACCCTAAATTACATTACTCCTCTCCTACAAAACCATCTATCTGTTGTTTCAAGGACAAAAGTGAACACCACCACCCTACAGTTAACCAAATCCGTATTGGCGAATTTTAAGAATCAAATCAAAATCTCTTGAAATTAAACAGAATCAGATCATATAATATATCAAGTATAAAAATAAAATAAATATGCTAATCACAACAAAACAATAATAAAGAAGGAAAGGAAAAAAAAAGTAGAAAGTGCGATTTATCAATTACAAGAAAGAACCCTAAACCGTGATAATAAAGAATAATGACAGAGGTAACTGGTAAGAGAGATCGAGTACCCGCATCTCGGTGTTGCCAAAGAAGGTCTCGAAGAGCTTGCGAAAGGCTTGACCCATTCCCCGACTCTTTGATTAGCTCTTCGATCTCTCGTCTGTCTTTTTCTTTACTACTACTATCCGTCCGTCTGTTATTTGTTTAATTTTTTTTTTTCTAGAATCTAATCTAATCTAATAGTCTGCCTCTCTGTTGTTCTGTTTTGTTTTTGTTTATACTTTTCTCCAAAGAGAGTGTGGCATGACAGAGGTAATTAACAGCATCAGCTTCTCTTCTCTTTTCCTCTCTTTTCCTCGACCTGGAATATTACTTTCTTCTCCCTCTCTCTCTCTCTCTCTCTCTCTCTCTCTCTATATATATATATATATGTTTTGAAATTCGTTTCAGGTTCGTTCTCCTCACCATATATTCCGTCAAAATATTCATTCGCAACGCCTCAATTGCTAATAAATATAAATCAAAAGTAAAACAGGTAAAATCGAGAACATTACAAAAAATCTTTAACAAAAATTAATCAATAAAATTGTCACCAAAGATAAATAATATTACATATTCTCCTACATTTGTCTCATCCTTCTTGAATATTTTGAGAATTGTTGCTATAACAACCAATAATTAAAAACCTTAAAACCTATAATTTTTAAATTTAAATCAATTGCCATACCCCATACTTAGTCTATTGTTTAAAAGTAAGAATAAGTATTTGGGTTTGAAAAATTCAGTTTTAATTTTGAGTAATTGAATCTACCAAAACCAAATTAAATAACAATTTGGGTTTTGGGACAAAAGAAATTGGATTTTTAAGTTTGGTTTTGAAAAAAAAAATCAAAATTTTCATTGAGGCATAATATTTTTTTAAACGACCAATCCTTTACCCAAATAATTATGTGGCCTACCTTTGCTCCAATGCCTAAACCAACCTATATGTGAAAAGAATAAATATTCCTAACTTTCTCCTCCGATTTTCCTTTAAAATGTATCGATTTATATTTGAGAGAAGCACCAACTTCTTGTAATTGTTTTACCCCAGTTTTAATCGAGTTTTAGCCTTTCCTCTTCTTAGCTTCCAAAAACTTTGTTGCTTTTGGATTGTGCATTTGTTGATCGACTTGATTTTGCTAACTAGGTATAAAATTAGTAGTTGTTTTGGTTTCCTTGCCATTGAAAAACACGTCACACACAAATAGTACTATCAAGGTAGTTAATCAAGGGGATGAGCCCTTTCGTTGAGATTGATCCAACGACAAGGTATGATAGGTTATTTGATGCTATATCGAGTTAGGAAAGTATATGGCGCTTAATATAAGTTGAGATAGGGGCGGATAAGCGAGAGTGATAGAGAGAGGGGGTCTCTAAGTTTTGGTGTTTTGTTAGTAGAAAAGAAAAGGAGAGGAAGAGTGAACCACGAAATGATTCGAGGGCTTTACATGCTTTGGTTTAAAAATCGAATCGATCTTGAAAAAATTAAATTATGTTTTATTCATTTTTTTCATCATACTCGAACTAGAATGTTGCAATCCATTTGGTAATTTGGATTCGGTTCCATTCAATTTTTAGTTAATCTAAACTATGCTCCATCTTGGATTCGGTTCGTTCAATTTTTTTAGTTAATCTAAACAGTGCTCCATCTTGCTTACAAAGTTTGTTAAATGTGGGCCTATTTTATTCATAGTTTTTTTTTTTATAAGATTTGGAAAAAACACATTTATATACATCTCCTTTTTTTTTTTTAGTGCGAGCTAAAGATATAGAGAAAGAGAAAGAAAAGAGAGAAAACACTAAAAAAAGAAAACATAATGAGTTTTTAGATTGTGAAAAACTAATATCAAAGAGTACATTATCAAGACTCATAATTCAAGCTTATAATCATTTCTTTAAACTAGTGGATTATTTTTCTATTGATTTGGTTATGGATGTTTCCACATCTTAGAGTTTTACCAAGTTAAAGATTCTAGTGTTCTTCATTTTTATTTCTTAATTATTTTGTGCTTTCCATTACCTATTTGCTTGCATAATTGTTCCTTATTTTTTTAAGAGCTAAACAACTAATCTAAAAATTGGTGTGTAGCTTTTAGATAAAGTTTTTGAAATCGAGTTTGACTTGCATGCAAGTTAAAAGGTCACCGAACTCGAATAAGTCAAATTTGATCATGAAATTTGTAAAAGAAATATAAGATTAAGTATGTCTAAACTTAATGAAGAAGAAGGTAACGATAGATGATGGCTTTGGAGAACCAATTGATGGACATAATGGTTTTATTAAAGGAGCAACTAAAAGAAATAAATAGCATAAACGAGTTCTAAGGCACATGTTATTGAACAACATGGGATGGAGGCACCTATAAGGACTAAGGTGATAGAGCCATTTAAGATTGAGTTATGTATTAAAATTTCATGGCTATATAATGTTTAATTGGGTCCTAAAAAATTGGATGGATGGTTGAGCCAATTAAAAGTTTATTTTCGAACCAAACATTATACATATCTCTAAAAATTTACTATTTTTTGGACTACAACTTGGTGGTCACACACTTATATAATGGAAAGCTTATTCTGCTGGATTATAAGTTGATAACCTACTACCTATTCAAACACATGTAGTAAAATTTACTACTTGGATTATGAAATCAATTTTACCCTTTTGGATATCAAGATGGCTAGTTTAAGAGAAACATGGCAATATGTATGTCAAAATGTCCAAGATTATACTATAAAATTTTGAAGGCAAGCTATCATGATGGCCTTTAATTTGTGCGATCTTGACACCTTGACAAAATACAAAGTTGGCTTGAATTTTTGGTTATAAACAAAATTGGGTTTTGCACACATCGAGATCCCATACAGGTTTGAATCTTTTAGATCGAGAACTTAAGTTTTTTTATCCAATTTAAGAATTATACTCCTATGTTGTTATTGTTTCGGTTCCTAATGTGCCACATAAACACACGTGACAAGCTCTAGCTAATGACGGCTTACTATAAGTGTGTTTTTCTTTTCTTTTCTTACACACTAAAACTTACCTATTGCTATAAACATCTTTCCAATCAAGTCAAGTATGGGAGAATTTATGAAAGATGCATAAAATAACTTGAATATTAACTCAAAATAATAAAATATACAAAAATCATTGGGTTGTCTCCCAATAAGCGTCTTTGTTTAACGTCATTGGCTCGATGTTACCTTTCCCATCAAGAGGAATCTTTCATCTTTAGGTTTGGAACTCGACCTCTCTTGCACCTTATCATTAACCGCATTAAGGATATTTAACCAAATTAGTTCACCATTGAATTCCATGATGAGAGCTCTATTGTGGTTATTGATATTCATCCTCGTCATCTTGAGAAAAGGTCTCTCTAGCAAAAGGGATGCCGGATTATTGGGAGGTTCATCTCTCATTTTCAAGATGTAAAAATCGATCGGTAACATAAATTTATCCACTCGCATAAAAACATCTTCTACTACCCCTTGAGGTAAGCGTTAGTGTAATCCGCTAACCTGGATGATAACATTAGTGTCTTTTAAAGATCCTACACTTAATGAAGCATAAACAAAATATGGCATCGCATTGATTGACACTCCTAAGTCTTACATAGTTTTGTCTATCCTATTGTTACTAATTTGATACGTTATTGTGAATATTTTGGATACAAGCATTTTGGAGGAATTTTTCTTTGAAACATAGTGAAAACATTATCTTTTTTCACTACCTTTCCATTGTTGTCTAGTTTTCTCTTGTTTGTGCATAGTTCCTTCAAGAATTTGATATACCTAGGCACGTACTTTATTACCTCCAAAAGAGGTATTCACGTTGATCTTACTAAACGACTCAAAGATCTTCCTTTTTTCTCTTTTTTTTATCTCTTCCTTCCTAAGCTTTTCTAACCTACTAGCAAAGGTGCATGGTTAGTTGAAAATTGAATAGAAGGGTCGGAATTTACCTTAGGACTCGGTGTAGTCCTATAAATTGGCATGCTCTCCTTCTCTTTTTCTAGCCCTAACTTTTTTTCATCGGTTGCCTCACATATTAGTTTGCTTGGTTTCTCCACTAGAGCAATACTTCTCAAGGTCATAGCACTCACATTTTTCTTTTAGTTTGACCACCATTTAGGATGGCAATTTCCCTTGACCTTGAAGAAAAATATTCCACTAGCTAAGCTAATAAACTTTGTAGGAGAAAAGGAGAAGACTTCTCTGTCCCTCCTCACAATGCATGAAAGAATCTAACTATTCTTTCGGATGACTTTTCAAAAAAAGCTAAAGCTTGGGTGGGAACTACTTGGCTAAAAAGTCACTCTTAAGAAAGGAGGTTTATATGTGGAGAACTCAAGATAAGTCATAGTAATGATTAATCTTGGTCTCTCTCTCTCTCTCTCATCTAGCAAGTAATTTTTCAAATTTTCAATTTTTTTTTGTTATCCTTAATATCAATATTTTTTTTTTCAAGTTAAACAAAATTGTAACAAATACTATCGACCCTTTCCATGGTAGGCGAGTGCATGCCGAAACAAAAAGAAAAACCTTTTTCTTAGAGTGTGTGAGTTGATTTTCTAAACTATTTTATTTACTTTATTAATTTTGTTTAGGTTACAAAATAGAACGTCAAAATACGAAGAAGAAAAATATTCCACTAGCTAATAGACTTTGTAGGAGCAAAAGAGAAGACATCCTTGTCCCTCCTCACAATGCGTCGAAGAATCCAACTATTCTTTTAGATGACTTTTCAAAAAAAAACTAAAGCTTGGGTGGAAAATACTTGGCTAAAGAATCACTCTCAAAAAAGGAGGTTTATTTGTGGAGGACTTAAGATGAATCCTAGTAATGAATTAATCACACTTAATTCTTGTTTGCGATTTTGGATGGAGGGAAACCGTATTCCCTAATATTATTTCACTCTGTCAAACGAGAGAAAAATGACAAGACAAAATCGAGTTTTTTCTAAACGGCAAGAATAGATAGATAAAATTCTTAAGAAGAACACATGTTTACCAACAATGCTAAAGCATATGAACAAGTAAATTAATATGTTTATAAAATTGGTTTATTCTCAAATTTGAATATGGAATTAATCTAGCCATTATTGTAAAGGATGAATATTGAACTTTGATTTTTATTTTTTTTATAAGGTGTAGTTTATAGCTGCATTAGGAATTAAACTAGTAAATTATAAATTATTCCCTCCCATTTCGAGAAATGAATTAATTAATCTCTCTGTTTTTTAAAACTAATTATTTAGAGTTTTTTTTGATATTTTTTAATTTATTTTTATTTTAAGAAATAAAAATGAAAAAAATAAGTAAAAATATGGATAGATTGATGAAAAAATAATATATTTTATAAAATAAAAAATACTAAATTAGCCATAATCAATACTATATAAAATGACCAAATAATTAATTTTTGAAACCAAAAAGATTAATTAATTGGTTCTCATAAAGAGAGATTAATTTATAATTTACTTGGAATTTAACCCGTGACGTCACAATTTAATATTATCACAAGGCTACTGTGGCCTGAACTAATTTTTTTTATATATATATATATAACTAAATGCCAATTGACTAGTGATAAATGGTAATAGCTTCGTAAATTTGAAAGCATTACAGCAGATCACGTTAGAGTAATCATAACATGCAAGTACTCTCCAGATGATGTTCTCCACCCAAACTCCATAGCAAAAATAATTTCATTTTCCAAAAGAAGAAATTGACCAAAAAAAAAAAAAACAATTCTAAACCACAAAAAAATTGTTTTTTTTATTTTTTGCCACTCAACACTTCAACTACAGTCCACAAAAAAAAAAAAAACCAATAGTGGCCCAGGTATTTTTATTTTCTTATCGTTTGTTTTCCACTGAAGGAAGGGCAAACCCAACCCGAACACAAAGCGAATACTCCAACCATAAGAATTGATTAACCTTTCCATGCCCATCATCTCCTGCTCTCCCTATCCTTCCTCATGCCAAACTCAAATCTCCACAATGTTCATCACCCAAAAAACGTCGCCGTTCCTGCTTCACAGATACAGACTCAATTTCCGCTCTACTCATCTCAACAAATACAAATACAAATACCGCTGCCTTCTTGACCAAATTGCCCCCGTCTCCGCCAACGTCATCGCTGCTGCCGTCGCCTCCTCTGGTTCCGGCTCCCTCCATGGTGCTGTTACCTCTGCCATAACTCACGTAGCTGTTACCGCCGTCGCTATTGCCTCCGGGGCTTGCCTTTCCACCAAGGTTGATTTTTTATGGCCTAAAGGAGAAGAACAACCTGGTACCGGTAGTATAGTTTTATTAATTTTTGTTTTCTTGCTATGAAAGAACAGAATAGAATTAGGGCTAATGATTGAAAAGTACAGGTTGTTTTACAGTGGATGGAGTTGATGTGACTGGTTGCCCAATATTTAATGATGCCAAGGTTGGTTCGGTTCCTTCCTTGTTGCTTGATTGATTTCAGTCACTCATCTCTTCTGTTGCTGCTTCTTTCTTTGCTACTTTTGTAAAACGCTTTAAATTAATTTGTGAAGGCAGGTGGTTAAGGCTATCGCATTTGCCAAGAAAGCTCACCATGGCCAATTTCGCAAGACTGGAGACGCTTATTTCACTCACTGTATCCATACTGCTAGAATCTTGGCTATGTTGGTTCCATCTACTGGCAAACGAGTATGCATCTATCTAACACTTCTAATTACTACTGCATCTTCTTGCTGTTGTAGCTTTCTTTTCTTCCATCCTCCACTAATCTACATCACTGCTAATATTCTGCATTGCCCCTATTCTACTCTTGTTTTTTTTTTTCTGGTTATTAATTTTCATGTTTGTACACATTGTTTACTTGTACGTTTTTCTGCGATGATTCTCTTACTAAGATTTTAAAAGTGTGCTGCAGGCCATCGACACAGTTGTGGCTGGGATTCTCCATGATGTGGTTGAAGATACAAGCGAGAGTGTACTCAGTATACAAGAAAACTTTGGTGAGGATGTGGGAAAGTTAGTAGTTGGTGTTTCCAAAATTAGTTACATAAATCAGGTAATAGTTTTATAGTTGTAAACTCTTCATTCATTCTTCTTCTTTTCAATATTTTTAATTTTGGAATGTGAAACTTTACTAGTGATCCTGGCTGGCAAGTCCTATGGAATCCAACCTTGTGGAATTGTGTATAGCTTTTTTATTTATTTATTTTTTTTGGGCTTAAGGGAACGCCATCCTTTTGCTCTCTGCCCATAGACCGTAGCTGCCTTTTGCGCATGAATAAAAGATCCATATGGTACTCTCAATTCATCTTTTTGGAAAATGACATTTGAGGATAGGTGTAGCTAGGCTTTTTAATGAACTGATTTGGGAATCTTAAGAGATACAGAAACCATTTTGCTCTGCGTTTGACGATAATTTTTTTGAAGATGGTTTGTTTCTAGAATTGGAAAGATAAACGCTTATGGGGATGTCCTTTTCAATTCTTCGCCTTTCTCCAAAAAATGTTGCATGGGGGGATATATTTTTTTCCCCCATTTTCATCATTTGAGAAGAGGTCCCTTCAGGATAATTAGAGATGCCATGGAAAAGTTTTGGTGAAAAGGGGTAATGTTGCAAGCCCACATAATACGCTTTTTAGGGCTACTTATTTTAGAAAGAAATATAAGGTTTTTTTTAATGTTTCAGTTTCCTGCTTTAAGACTTCTCATTTTATTGGGTGCCTATAAATAAAAACATTCCATTTTTGCTTATGATTATTGATTGAAATAAAAATCAGAATTTTCTCCAAGGTTGAGTGTGTCTCTTGATTTTGTGATCTTTTTGTTGTTCTATTTTAGAGAAAAGATTAAGATTTTCTCATAAATAGTTATATGGTTAACAAAACAATATATCCTCTCAAATAATATATTTTCGTACAAAGCATATACAAAATAATCTATTTTAAATTTGATCTTGCACATGAAATTACTTATACAAGATCAATCATTTATAACTAAATGTAGTTCTATACAAAAATAAGATACATTTAAAATTGCTCCTTGTTCCTTGTTCAAATAAAGATGAATGATCAAAACTTAAGGGTGTTTGATAACCTAATTAAGTAGCTTAAAAAATTAAGTTGTGCTACTTAATATAAAAATCTTGTTTGATAACTTAAATAATCTCATATTAAAACTTTAAGTTCGAGTTAAAATCTACTTAATCAAATAAGTTAAAATTTTTAACTTATCTGATTAAGTCAAACTATCTAAAACATATTCTCTCTCTCTCTCTCTCTCTCTCTCTCTCTCTCTATATATATATATATATATATATTATAATAATATATTTTAAAAAAATAAAACATCAATGTTATAAAATTTTATTCCAAAATTCATATATTAAAAAATCAAATTTATTAACAAATAAAATTATATCAAAAATTAATTTGATGAGAATTTTAGTAAGAAAAAAAAATTGAAAATAATAAATTTTAACAATAAGAGTAATATAATAAGATATATATGTTCAAACTAAAATCTTAAAAAATATCATATATATTCTATCATCTTCAAACGGGTTTATTATATTTAGTACTTAATTTTTAGTAAATACCAAAAAGCTTGTCACGAACATATTCGAGTACTTAACGGATTCAGCACTTAAAATTCAGTACTTAATAGATTCAGCACTTAATTTTCAGTTTTATCAAGCACCATCTTAGTCTTATATTTTCATTAAAATAATTTAGTTCTATAAAAAAAAATACAATAATAATGCATGATTAAAAAAAAAAAAAAGGAAACCATGCTGATGCTTGATTGAAATAGAAAGTTTAGATTTATAGATTGTAATCACTTAACCTCATGGCCACAATACAATTAAAACTGTTTGTTATATTCTTACCCTAATATTGCAACCAAATTAGTTTACTCATTCGTTATCTCATATGACGATTATCTTGTTCTTGAAATTTCTATAGTTCTACACTCTCGGATTGCTATAAGAAAAAATTGCAATTTGAGTGCATAATTTTTTTCTTGTTTGAGTGCACAATCGGTAAATCCTTCTATTTGAGTGTCCACAATTACTCGATACTAGAAAATGTTGATGTGTTCGAGATGAACCGACAAGCGGTAAAAATTGTTCCTGCTGGAATGATTCATGAAAAAAATTGATTTTTTTTTTTAGAAAACTGTAATTTTAGTGCCTAATTTTTTTTTATTTTTCTGTTTGAGTCTTCAAAGTTTGATTTATTTATTTTTATTTGAGTTTCCTTAGTCACTTGAGACTTGAAAATACTGATGTGGTCGGAGTCCACAACATACGGCAGTCCTTCACTTACATGTAGCAAAAAAAGGATCTCATTCAGATTTATGTATAAATTTTTTAAAAAAAGTTATAAAACTTTTATAAAAGAAATAGTTGGCAATAATTAAAAAAAAAAAAAATCAAAATCAATTACCGTTAATTGAATGAATTTAGCAAGTTTGTTGACCAATTTCTTAAAACTCTTCAAAGATATTATCATCTAAACATTTCTTTTGCTTAATTCAAGAGTTCTAACTTTAGATCATCTAAAGAATTCAAGTTCATTCGGCGAATAGTAATTGATTTTGATTTCTTTTTTAATTATTGCCAACTATATTTTTTATTTAAGTTTGGTAATTTTTTTCTTAATAAATCTAAATGGGACTCATTTTTATCACATGTTAGTGAATCCTATCTACATCAGTATTTTCCAGTCTTTAATGATTTGAGGGAACTTAAATAGGGTAAAAAAAACTGGGCACTCAAATAGAGAAGTATTTAAAGGTTTGGCACTTTAATTGTATTTTTTGTTTTCTAAATAATCAAAGTAGGATCTATTTTTTGCCACGTGTTGGTTAAAAACTGCTACAGTTCATCCTGGACAAGTTAGCATTTTTCAATCTTGGATGATTGTGTACACTTAAAATAAATAAATAAATAAAGCTTAGGCACTCAAATAGAAAGATTTATAAGTTGGACACTCAAATTAAAGGATTTATTGGTTGGGCACTCAAACAAGAAAAAAAATTCAAAAGTTGGACACTTAAATTTCAGTTTTCTCATTCCTATAATTTTCAGCTGCTATTATTCACTTGATTATTGTACTTTTTTGGACACTCAAATTGCAGTTTTCTCACTCCTATAATTTGCAGCTGCTATTATTCACTTTTTTTTTTTTTTTCGTAGCTGCTACGGAGACATCGCAGGCTAAATGAGAACCAGGGCACCCTCAGTCATGATGAGGTATCCAAAGTGAAGTCTGCATTATGAAAAATTTATGTTGGTTATTGCAAAATAGAATATCAAAGTTTTATGATTACGTTATTATCATCATCAACATCATTGTGATTCAAATCATCGATGACTATTCACATGATTATTTAAGTCCATATCAAGAAAAGAAATAGAGATTAAATGATTATGATAGTACTTTATATTGAACTATAATCTTGAGTGAATTGATGGTGGTGACACCCTTTGGTACAGAGTTGGTGCATGCCACTCAGATTACAATTGTGCTTTTCAATGCTTCTGCACTTGTGTTAAAAACCATTCCACCCAAAACCATAAGTGTTTGGTGAGGTTCCAAACATGGTTTTATTTACACTCTTCCTTAAAGATTGAGTAGTAAAGCCATTATTTCTTTCTTCTGAGGGTTTTAGTCATATATGATTTAAGTGGTTGTAGCATAAGGCTATAGGAGAAGCATAACTAAAGAATTCTCTCACTCCCAGGATAAGCATAATATAAGCACCACTTATCTGCAGTATTTTTTCCCCCACAAAGATTTGCAGCAATTTTCTAACTCCTGTAATTTCCCTGTTCAATATCAAGGCAAATAATTTACGAGTGATGCTCTTGGGCATGGTTAATGATCCACGTGTGGTGCTCATCAAGCTTGCAGACCGTCTTCACAACATGAGAACCATGTATGGACTTCTATTAATATCTACAATCTATGCTTGTTTTGAGAGAGGTCCTTTTTTTAAAAGAACAAAAAATGGTTGAAAGTTCTCAAATATTAATGGACATGGTGGTTTGCTTCTTGGTTCTTTGTGGTCTGAGACAATATGTGAATAAATCCTATGATGCTTTTCAGGTGAACCTTTTGGTTTACAGTCTACTATATTAATTGCAATCCTTGATAATTTTGTTTTTTCCCCTTGTAGTTATGCCTTGCAACCTTCTAAGGCTCGAGCTGTAGCTGAGGAGACGTTGCTTATTTGGTGCTCACTTGCTTCTAGATTGGGTTTGTGGGCATTGAAAGCAGAGTTGGAAGATTTATGCTTTGCAGTTCTTCAGGTTTCCTCATAATTTTTGTTGGTTGTTGTGAAGCTCATTAACATTGATGATAAGCCAATGGCATTTGCAGGTTAATCCGAATGATAAATTTCTAATTTGTGGTTGCTATGATTGGATGGGAAAATAGCATGATAAACTAGTAATTTTAGTTATGGATGTTGAAACTCCTACGTACCAAGCAAAGTGCTTGAATATTTATTTGCATTCCTGGTTATTTTTTCTTTTTGAGCACATTTCACTCTGTTTGTTGGCTATGTGGCTGGTAAAATTGATATAGTCTATTAAATTTACTCTTTAAAGATGGATAGTATTCATTTATACATGTAATAATTTATCTCTAGAAGAGCATACTATGTGGTTCTATGATACTCATCTGAAGTCTAGAGGTTGAAACATCTTTGTTATTTGCGTTATGCATGTGTAGCCTTGTCCAAGTAGAACTTGTGGCCATACAAAGTTTCAATGGTCTACTGTAGTAATGTTGTTTTTATGAAGCATGCTCCATCAATGTTAGAGTTACATTGGCAATTCACCATGTTGGCATTATCTGTATGGTTTAGGATTGTTATTATTATTATTGTAGAAATATTATGCTTAACAGAAAGAGTCATGGTTATAGGGTTGTGGTGAAAAAAGTTGATCCATCATCTAAAACTAAAAGCTTACAGTAATTATATTCTTACTCTTAGCTTGTTACTTTGGTGGCGATGGAAGTTATCAGGAGAAGTATTTTCCATCATGAGGATATGTTGCTGTATTCTTAGAAAGGGGGAAAAATGAAGTTTTTAGTGTAAGTTTTAAATTTTTGATTTACAGACTTGAGAACTGTGAGTTTGTGGATAAGTTCTCTGGAAGGAAATTCAAGGAAATTCTAAGAACTGAAAACAAAGTAACGGGAAGGAATTTCTAAAAGATTTGAGTGCCTTTTGCAATGCATAAATTGACAAATTAAAGAGCTTTTCTGAAAAGTTTTGTGTATATCTCTCTTGACAGATTTACAATATATAGATATTAAGAGTACATCAAATCTCTACAACTTAGGACCTAATTACAGCAGAAAGTATATACAATCAAATAAAGATCCTAAAGCAGAAATCAAGGAATTTTTTACACATTCCCTATTAGCATATTCTCCTAATTAATAATAATATGATAATAAGGAAGGAATAATAAATGAGAATAATTTTATTGACACCCCCCTCAAATTGATGCGGGTAAGTCTATGAGCATCAATTTGGTACTAAGAAACTAATGTTGCTTGGCGCGTCATAGCTTTAGTAAAGACATCGGCTATTTGAAGATCGGTAGTGACATGAGGAAGAGTGATAAGATGACGATCAAAAGCATCCCGAATGTAATGACAATCCACCTATATGTGCTTGGTGCGCTCATGATAAAGCTGGATTAGCGAGTGATCTGAATGGCACTAGTATTATCACCATGAAGCGGAGTAGGATCGGTTTGAGGAAAGCCAAGTTCGGAGAGAAGACCACGTAACCACACAACCTCGGAACAAGGCTGCAGACATGGCTCTATATTCAGCCTCCGTGGAGGATTTAGAAACACTCTTGCTTCTTACACTTCCAAGAAATCAAGGCATCTCCAAGAAAGATGCACTAGCCGGTTGTAGATTTCCTTGTATCCGGACATCCAGCCCAATCGGCATCACTATATGCAGCCAAGTGAAGAGAAGAACTCTGTAGGAAATAATAATCCACGAGTAGGGGATCCAATTAAGTATCGAATAATGCGCCTAACTGCAGCAAGATGAAGATGCCAAGGTGATTGCATAAATTTGCTAACTATATGGACAACATATGAGATATCGAGCCTTGTAATAGTTAGGTAGATAAGACTACTAACTAGTCGCCTATAAAGAAATGGATCGAGTAGAAGCTCGCCTTTATCTTTTTGGTACTTCACATTCACCTCCATTGGTGTATCAACGAAATAGCATCCTTCAAACCAGCCAAGTCAATAAGGTCTTGGACATATTTATGTTGATTTAAGAACAACCCATGTGCCCGAGAGTGAACCTCTTTGTTATAACCGAGTGATGATTATATCATCAATATAGACCAAGAGAAGAACTACTCGATGGTCTGTCTTATGAAAGAAGAGAGACGAATCATATTGGCTTTGTGTGAAAGAAAAGTTCGGAAGGGTGCTGCAAAACTTCTCAAACTAGGCTCGAGGGGCTTGTTTCAGCCCATATAAGGATCACCTTAGCTTGCACACTTCATGAGGAGAAATTACTTGCATACCGAGCTGGAAGTTTCAAGTAAATGTCTTCTTTGAGGTCTTCATGCCGGAAGACATTTTTTACATCCATCCGAAGGGCCAAGACTTAGAAGATGCAATAGCAATAATAGTTCTTACTTGTGGTCATCTTGGCAACCGGAGCAAAAGTTTCATCATAATCGAGCCCATATTCTTGTTTATTTCCAAGAGCAACTAGCCGAGTTTTGTATCTATCTAAAGAGCTATCGGACTTGAGTTTCACATTATAAACCTACTTGCTCCCAATGGGTTTGAGATTTGGAGGACAAGAGACAATATCCCAAGTGTGGTTTTCGTCAAGTGCTTGAAGTTACTGCTTCCATTGCTCGTTGTCGGCACTCATGTTCCATAGCCTCGCTTATAACAAGAGGGAATGGAAATAGAAGACAAAGTAGTAGACAAAGACACGGGAGATGTAAATCCATACCGCTCATGAGGTTTATGAGTTCCGGAACTTCTTCGGATAAGAGCTGGATCACTAGCGGTTGGTAGAACGAGGATCGGATGCCATAGGAAGATGCGGAGGAACCGTAGTGGGACTTGTAGGAGAATCGGATGTAGGTGGACAGCGTCTTTGATAAACATGATAAGGCTTAAATCTTTGTATTGGTGCTGGAGACTTTGAAAAATATGGCAAAATAGATGTAAAAGGAGATTTTGAAATGCGTTGTGTGCTAAAGAAAGATTGATTTTTTAAAAAAATGACATTCCTAGAGACACGAGTACGACGAGCATGAGAATCATAGCAAAGAAAACCTTTTTGGTGTTCAGCATATTCTAAAAAAGCACACTTGACAGATTAGGCGGTGAGTTTAGTTCTTTCATGTACGGGAAGATGAACTAAACATACACATCCAAAACGATGAAGATTTGAGTAATTCGATGCATGTCCAAATAAACGAAGATAAGGTGAAACATTGTCCAAGGTTGGAGAAGGTAACCTATTTATTAAATAAACAACAATAGACAAGGCTTCACACAAAAAATGATGAGGAACAAAAGAATCAATTAAAAGAGTTCGAACAACATCAAGAAGGTGACGATTCTTCCTTTTAGCCACTCCGTTTTGTTGTGGAGTGAAAGGACAAGAACGTTGTGATAAAATCCCATGACTTTGGAGGAAAGATTGAAATTCATTTGACATATATTCGCCACCAGAATCTGATCGCAAGATTTTGACTTTGGCGAGAGAGTTGTGTATTAAGCAAGGCAAGAAACATTTTAAACACAACGAAACCTCACTTTTAGACATAACAAAATAAATCCAAGTAAAACGCATGAAATCATCGATGAATGTGACAATATTTTTAATGCTCATGAGAAATCATTGGTGCAATACTCCAAACATCGGTATGAATGAGTTCAAAAGATTTGGTGGTGCGAGTTGTATGCAAAGGAAAAGGAAGAGTTTTGCTTTTACCAAGCTTGCAAGAAGCATAATCAATATTGACATCATCAACAAAAGTTGAATTTTTATTACCAAGTAACTAGATTTAAGCAACAAGCGAAATACATGAGAATTATAATGGCCTAAACGCTTATGCCACACCTGATCATTACATTGAACAACATTGCAAACAACAGAATTTAACAAAGGATAGGAAGGAGATAAAAATATTGGAAACAAACGTCCCACTTTAGGTCCCCGTGCGATCATCTTCCACGACACTTGATCCTGCACAACACAACCAGAATTTGAGAATTGAACATTACAATTATTGTCAACTAATTGATCAACCGATATAAGATTAGTGGACAGATTAGGAGACACAAAAACAGTATTTAACGAGGCTGAAATATCGCCAACAGCCGTGATGGGTAAGGAATTACCATCGACTATGTGAATATGAAGATTTCCTTTATATTTTTAGACATTGGTAAGAGGTAACACAGTATTGGTCATGTGGTTTGAAGCACCAAAATCGAAATACCAAGGTTTAGAAGCAGAATAGTTATTACCTGAAATCCCTAAAGCAGAAAAGGCAGAAACTATCATTTGCTGAACCATTTCAGGAGTAATAGAGGACTGACTAGGACTAGGAACATAAGTAGGATTAGAGGACGTGACAGTAGAACCAGAAGCACTTAAGGAATCAACCGAGACATTGGAGGCTCTAGCAGATTTCTTTGGAGGCCGAATGAAGCAATCTTTGATGATATGTCCTGCTTTCTTACGATAATTGCAGAATTTTTTAGTACAATTGGTGGCAATATGCCCAAATTCTCTGCAACTATAGCATTGGACATTAGTCATGTCTCTACTTCCTTTAAATCTCCCTTGAGCAGCATAGGCAACAGGAATTGGAGCAGAATTTTGAGCTTTCTGCTCCATGACAGCTTGAGTAATAAGCCTCTGTTCTTCCCTTAAAAGTTCACCGAGACAAATCTCCAAACAGGAAACTAGATCTCTGTTCATTAAATTGGATCTGATTCCTTCAAAATCTCCTCTCAATTTCATCAAAAACTGATCTCGCTTGTTGGTCTTATACACACTTTGGACAGCAGAGAGTCCTTCAAAAGATACACTTGCATACACAATATCAGTGTATTCAGCCCAGAGATTCTGAAAGGAAGATTAGAAATCTTGGATCGACATGTTGCCTTGAACAAGAGTGCCCAGCTCAAGTTCCAGCTGAAACCTTCGTGCTGTGTTGCTCTGGTTATAAACTATCTTCAAGTAACCCCACATTTCTTTGGAAGTTTTATAAGGCTTGAGGTTGAGAAGAATGGATGGCTCGACGCTTCCAAAAATCCAAGACATAATCCGAGCATCCTTCACATCCCATTTCACACACTTTTCCTTCTCCTTCTCTCTATCAAGTGCAATATTTGTCCCATCAATATGACCCCATAATTCCTTTTCCTCGACAAAGATCTGGAACTGAAATTCCCGGGTCGAATAATTCTTGCAATTAAATCGAATACAAAAATGGTCAAATCGTTCAAAAGACATGATTCAAGTAAAAAAAAAAAAAAAAGAGGGCTAAGATATCAAATCAGATAACTAAAATCTGAACAACAAGACAAGAATAACCAAGAACAAGAATACTAAGATCACGAAACTAGGCAACAAGATGAAACAATGTCGAAACCTAGCTTTGATACCATGACAAATTAAAGAGCTTTTCTGAAAAGTTTTGTGTATATCTCTCTTGACAGATTTACAATATATAGATATTAAGAGTACATCAAATCCCTACAACTTAGGACCTAATTACAGCTGAAAATATATACAATCAAATAAAGTTCCTAAAGCAGAAATCAAGGAATTTTTTACACATTCCTTACTTAGCATATTCTCCTAATTAATGATAATATGATAATAAGGAAGGAATAATAAATGAGAATAATTCTATTGACATAAATTTGTGAAAACATGTTGATTTTGCAATAATGTTTACACCTTTAAGAAGAAATTAATTTGTACTTCCTGTCAAAAGCGCATTTAAATTGAGTAAGCCTTTATCCTTTTGGGAGTGGGTAGATCTATCCAAAACAATGTTGCAAGGTATCTAGGTTAATTTGCTGTCAAGTTTTGTACCTTTTGGTGAAACCAGCAGGTGCCTAGTTTGGTCATATTTGTTAAGAGTTTAGTGTAACAAAGAACTGCAATTGAAAATTTAAAAACAACAAAATTGCAGATCCAGATTGTGTAGGAAACCTCTTTACTGTTGTGAGGATCCAGTTCAGGATAGTAGGTTGTTTTTTTTCTTCTCATGTTTTCTGTTTTTGATGTGTGATTAATTCTCCAATAGCATTTTCAATTTTCTTGATGATATGACATGCAGCCTCAGCTATTTCAAAAAATGCGGGCTGACCTAGCTTCCATGTGGAACTCTAGCAATAGAGCTGGATATCTGAGACGAATCTCGTCGAAAGCTAGCTTTATAGCTTTGAATGAGAAAAATTCAACTCTTGATTATGAAAATTCCGTGACAATTGACAATGATGTCTCAACCATGAAGGTAACTAGTGAATTGTTGACAAATGCTCTATAATCTTGCCTTTGATTCCACTCCCCCACCCCACCAATCCAAAGAAAAAAAGATGGTAAATAGAGTAGAGAAGACTCTGGAAAATTATTTCGGAGATAAACTTGATATGTGGATTTAATCAAGCATCTATTTTCATTGTTCTAAAATAATGTCTTACCTTTTTTCTCCTTTCCCTTTAAATTATGGGTTATTTCTATTACTATATATCTCAAATGTTAAACATTCAGAAAATGATGCAATTGCATTAATAACAGACATAATATTTCACAATTATTATTGTAAGGTTTGATACACTTTTTGTGCAACACAAACATATTGTGTAAGGTTGCAATGGTTTTGAAGTAGCTAGATTAGATAGTCCATAAGTCATTTTATTCAATTATTGTCCATGTGCAGGATCTTTTGGAAGCTGTATTTCCTTTTGATATCCTGCTAGATCGAAGAAAACGGAATAAATTTATTAATGATCTTGACAAAACTTCAGAGAATCAAACACGACCTAAGGTTGTGCAGGATGCTGGAATTGCTTTAGCATCTCTTGCTGCATGTGAGGAAACGCTGGAGCGGGAGTTATTTATATCAACTTCGTATGACTTCTTTTCTCATTTAAATTTCATGATATAGTTCCAGAAGATTGACACTGTTTATTCTTATCTTAATGCTGTGCAATTACATGCAACGGATTTTACCATGCTTGCAGTTATGTTCCTGGAATGGAAGTAACTTTATCTAGCAGACTGAAAAGCTTGTATAGCATTTACAGCAAGGTTTGTGGCTTTATAGAACCAGTGATGCTAACTTGAGACTGGTATTTCCAAACTTATTCATACTTTCCCAAGATTTAATCATTTTGCTACTTAGGAATTGATTTTTGTTATCATAAGTTGTACATGCAGGTTTTTTCTTTGTTGCAGTTCATGAGCATATTCCATGTGTTTTCTTGACAATGCATTTGCATTCAGAATCTACATAGTATTGTGTTATATGTCTAGCAAGTAGTCTAATGGAACTAGGCAGTAAACCAGCTAACTATAGGTTCTGTTGTTCTTGATGGATGCATTTGTGATTTCAATGTGGACTGGGGAAGATTAGATATCCCAGTAATGTTATTGAAAGCATAATTGTGTGGGAGTAGTCTTGTTTTAGGTGCAGATTGGATGTGTATTGCTTGATTTGGCTATACAAGTGAATTTAGGGAGTACAACTTGCAACTCAGTCCTCAGTACTCCTTTGAAGTTTAGTTGGTATAAATGCTGAAAGAGTATTCTAAGGTCATTGATGGGGATTCATCATTTTGCTTGGCCTTTAATATTTCTCTATATTTTAAATATTGAGTGTTCCTAACCTTTTTTTTTCTTTTTCCTATCGCTAATTAAAGTTATATGGGACAGAGGCCTTATTTTCATTGCTTAAGTTCTCATAGAGAACTCATTTGATTAATAATATTAGAGCATGCTTCTATATTTGCTTCCTCTAGATGAAACGAAAAGATGTCGGCATCAATAAAGTATATGATGCCCGTGCATTGAGGGTAGTTGTTGGAGACAAGAATGGAACTTTACATGGATCTGCAATTCGATGTTGCTACAGTCTTCTCGACATTGTGCATAGGTACATGTACATGTTCGTCTATATCCATTGCATGCTTCATCTATATCCATTACATGCTAGCTGAAATGTTCTTATTTGCTTCTAACTCAGATGGAATGACCAATTATTAACCATACTTACCAATTGCCAGTTGAGATATGTTGGCATCATTTATGATTTATTCTAGCGGTAATGTCACTTGAACTAAGTAGGTCACTCCAAAGCTTGGTAGTTTTAGATTTATTCTAGCTTGGCAGTGTTAGTTTTTTTTTTTTTTTCCTTTCTTTGTCCGAAGTCCATGCATCTTTATTAATTACCTTGAATAGATTGGCATATTTCTGCATTTCATGAAAAGGACTCGTATCTGTCTTTCTCATATATATATGTATGTATGAATTGCCTCTATCTGGCTGATTGTGACCAGATAATGGGTCATGTCTTTCTATCTTACTTGACAGGCTTTGGACTCCAATAGATGGTGAATTTGATGATTATGTTGTTAATCCAAAGCCTAGTGGTTATCAGGTAATAAAAATATACAAAAGGAGTTCCTTAAGTGCTATTAAATACTTATTCAGATAAGTAGGTCAATTGTGGCATTCAAGCACGCTATAATCTGACAAAGAGATATAAATGTACTCGCATGTTTTTAAGTTTTTGAATCTTCGTTGCTAGCTATAGAGATTTAACTGAAAAACTATCAGTATTAAATTTAATCCATCTTCTTTTCCATAGAGCCATAAATTCATACTCGAAAAGAAGGGGAGAGGAAAGGAGGTTTTAGAATGGACTTTTAGTTCTCCAATATAGTCTAAGAAAATATGTAATAGCTAAAACCTAGATATATCGTTAACACTTTTTTGACCAGCAGTTGAAGAGCCTATTTATTGCGTGTCAAATGACACACTCTTAAACCACTCTATGTCTTCAGACAAGGAAATGGTGATCTTTCTGATTTTTCAACCTGGGCATATAGCACTAATGCTGCTGCTGCTGCTACTACTGAGAACAAATCTTGCCCCAAATCAAGCGATCATATGATGCATAAAGATGTCCACTCTACATCTCATGATGCAAGGGTATAATTACTTTCATTATACATTTTCCCAACCGGGGTAAGTGAAACATAGAACCAAATGATAAAGGAAAAACCAAAGGGAACCAATCATGAAAATTCAGTTTATTTGATCAATTAAAACTAGGCCCTGTAGATTGTCAATCTAGGCTCCTTTACGTACCAAAGACAAAACTCTAACCCAATGGGAATAAGAAAACTGAAACTTAGAATTCATGCCTCATTCTCTGTGAGAATGCTTTTGTTATGATGTTTCTCTCCTCGAATGACTAACTTTTAATAATCTTGTATACTGTGAGGAGCATGAAAATGATAAAAAAGGATTAGTATGTATTTGGTGTTATTATACTGTTCGCTTACAAAGCTTAGCATGATTTAACTTGAGATTTGTTTGGTTTAGCGTCTTGATAAAGCAAGGTCTACTCTGTTTGTGTCTCTGTCTCTTTTGTCAATTTAAATATGAACTTTATTATATTTGCAGTCTCTGCACACTGCAGTACAAGGTCCTGACAATGCACCTTTGGAGGTCCAGATAAGAACACAGGTGATAAAAATTTTACCTTTTGTATGAAATGAAACTTAAAATGTCATTTTTATGATACGGCTTGTAGAACTGCGTATCCATTCTCTCACAGAAAATGCATGAGTATGCTGAACATGGACTTGCTGCCCACTGGCTTTACAAAGAAACTGGAAAAAAGTTGTCTTCCATTGGCAGTACTGATGAATCTGAAACTGAAGCATCCTTGTATCTTTCCAAAGATATTGATGATCAAACTTCCATAGAAGATGATCAGTTTCAGAAGTACAGATCCCTCAAAGCAGGACACCCAGTCCTTAGAGTTGAAGGAAGTCACTTACTTGCTGCTGTTATATTCAGGTATGCTGCGATTTCATGCCTATTGCAGGACAACAAAACACGGGTTTGAAGTTATACAAAATAGAAGAGAAACAAGATAGAATACTAGCAGCCTCTCATCAGTAGGTTAAATGAATGATTTTTTTTTTTTTAATTAAAAGTATCATCACTTTCTCACATATTAAGCAAAAGACTGCACTTGATTTATAATAATTTTCTGCTGGATGACTACAGAGCATATTTATAATGCTCGAGTTCTTCCAACTCATAATGGCACATAGATTCCAAAATAGGAAAGCATAAGCACTCCTAAATAAGAACCTAAGCAAGTCCACTTATTTAAGGTATAAATAAAACATCCACTAGGAAAATAAAACTTGACTCTACTAGTGACATTCCTAGCTATCTGCAAAATTTCAGAATTATCTGACTCTACTGACTGGGACACGGACTTTGCTGGAATTGAGATCACACTGGAAAACCTGAACTAACTTCCCACTTGGAAATGTCAAAGCATTTATCCAACCAAATTAAATCTTAGGGTTCGATGTTTGTTCCTTTTGTTCCTTGCCCATATATTCACCCAAATCAAAGCTAAATCCTGAGGCTGCATTCATGGTGGGTTTATTGTTTTTTATTTTTCTTCCCATCACATTATAGTCAAACCTAATGACTTAGAGTTTAACTTTCTCCAGTATTTGCATTTCAGAGTAGAAAAGGGTGGAAGGGAATTGCTTGTTGCTGTTAGCTTTGGACTGGCAGCTTCTGAAGCAGTAGCTGATAGAAGGTCTTCTCTTCAAATGAAGCGATGGGAAGCTTATGCAAGATTGTATAAGAAGGTTGAGTTGCTCTGCTTTCTGTAGTTACTTCATGGTGTAGTGAATTTAAACACTATTCAAGATAGAGATTTGAAGATTCTAAACTTCTTCTAGAACTTGTATTCTTTAGCGCTCAAAATGCCATGCTTTGTGAAGTAGAAAGAAATTGGCCATTGAGGAAAAGAACTTAAGAGGCGAGTGTGACTGGGCCGTTAGGGATTAGAACTCTTTAGTCTTGTATTTTTCATAATAATTATCAAGTCTAACCATTTGCAAACTACTTTTCTTATCTTTGGAGGAAGAAATTACTTAAGAGGTGTTTGTTTTGCTTAAAATATTTTACAAATGGAAATGTTTTTCTGTAGAACATTTTACATGGAAAATTTTTTACGATGTTTGGTAAGTAATGATGTGCAAATATGATGGTAGTGAAATGATGACGATGTGTTGTGGTGGTGGTGGCAGCTGTGGTTGCAACTGGATGGCAGTGGTGGTGGTGGTTGAAATATTCAGATGATATTTTACAGAACTTCATGAGCTGAAAATATTTTATACCAAATGAACTAAGTTTGTAGGTTGATTGTAAAATATTTTATGTTGACCAATTTTCTTTTCAAATATTTTATGCAAAACAAACCCCATTTAGATTTGTATGAATGACGAGGTATATTACCAACCACCTTGTGCTTTCAGGTATCAGATGAGTGGTGGTGTGAACCAGGACACGGTGATTGGTGTACTTGCCTTGAAAAGTACACATTTTGTTGTGATGGTATGTACCACAAGGTATGCTTCATATGAAACTTCTTTTTGGTACATATGTTTTATGACTTGATGAGAAAAAATAAAGAGACTTCATCGTTTTGTGATTCTTAAGTATGACATGGCATGTTTCTCATCATATGTAACTTATATTTTTTCACTAAAGGATTGCCAATTAAATGTTCTACGTATTTCAGAGCTAAAAATCACTGGATCCCCTTCTACCATTTGCATTGGTCGAATTGAACCCTCTACTAATAATTTGGTTGAATTGAACCCTTTAGTTTCAGATTTTGGTTATTTTAAATCCTCCATTTATGTTTTTTGTTAGATTGACCATGATTTGTTAGTTGACCGAAGGTAGCCAATTTCATGATGATATGTGTCTGTTTGATTCCGACGCTACAGTCTGCATTAAAATTGATTACTTCATTTTCTTTTATTAAATTAATCTTATTTCACTTGATAAATTTTTTAAATGTATTTTACTTTTAAATTTTGTATGTATTAGTTTTTTCATTAAAGTTTATAATTTCAATTTTAATGTCGAGTGTGGAATCAGCTGGACATGTGTCATTATGATATTTGCTAGCTTTGGTCAACTAATGGATCATAGTCAATCAAATAAAAAGCATGGACTGAGGGTTTAAAATAACCAAAATCTGGAATTAAAGGATTCAATTTGACCAAGTTTTTAGTGGAGGTTTCAATTTGACCAAATTCAGATATTAAAGAGGCATCTGACAATTTTCAGTCTGTTTTTCAGTGGGACTATAACACGTCAAATCTAATTGGCCAGCAACGGCTTGGTTGATGTTGTTCAATCAAACTAACAGATGTTAGTGATGGACATGGACGGAGGGTCTAAAATGGTCTAGTTCGGGTGGTAGAGGGGTCGATTATAGCTTCTTTTTTCCCTCTTTGTGTAGAGGGATTGATATGACAGAAGAATATGTGGTAATTTTAATCCCAAAAATGCCTGGTAACTAACTGATAAAAAATTGAAAGGAGGTTGTACCTTTTCTTTTTAAAAGAGAGCTTCACCAAAACTTCATATCAGCGAGAGAAGAACTATGTAGCTCTCTCTAGCTAAGTCTAGTCTGCAGAGGTCTAATGACTTCTTAGCCTGGTTAAAACGTTTTTTTATACCAGCACCCTGCTGGTTTATGCCTATAATATAATCTTTGACTTCAAAAAAATAAAATTAAAAAAAAAAAAAGCTTCACCATTGCTTCATGCTGATGGTTCCAATTCCCACCTACAAGCCTGGCTTCTTGGCTTTACTGTTGCATGGACTAGATTAGAGTCATTGGGATTTTAATGGATCAATTGCTTAAACTATCAAAATATCAATCCGGAATGAATGGATGCTAGATCTACTGTTTAGCTGGTTCCCCGACCTGTCCTTGTATATAAACAATGCTATGTATCTTGTTTCTTCCACCCATTGCTCCAGTAAGGTAGACATTCTAAACTGAATGATTTTTGCAACCTGACCTTCCTGTTGGAGCCTTGGAGGTAAATTTAATGATTGTGTTCGCCATTCACGCTTTGAACTAAAAAAAGCAACTTCATAATTTTGCTGCTTGGGTTAGGTCTTTCCCTTCATTAACTAGCACCGATGATGGTGGAACTTCTGTTGGAAGCTGTATCTTTTGTTATTTTGCTTATTGAAGAGGCTGGTCAAAGTTCAAACAATAGAAAACACATTGCATGTAATTATATCTGTTTGGTTGAAAGCTGTTACTGTCATTCGCTGTTATAAATGTATGGATGGGAGAAGATTTAGACAGATTACTAGATGATTGTTGTTAGGATAGCTGCCACCGTCCTCTCCTCTCCCTTTCCCTTTTCATTTCCTGACTGCTTTTCACACCCTGCTTAAAACATGGAGGATCATAAATTAGATGCGAGAGTGTAAAACTATGAGAACTGTGGTAATAAGAGCTGTCTAAACACGATATTTCTCGTTTAGGTTTTGTGCTTATATAATAACTCTTCTACATGTGTCTATTATCACACTCACCCGTTACTTCTTTTGGAGTCATCTGATTGAACCATTATATCAAATCATAAATTAGCTAACTTACATAGAAAATTGGACTTTGTCTGAGAAATGATCAAATTCGTATGTTGCCATGCATGTAGCAAGATCAATTTGGGCGCCTATTGCCGACCTTCATCCAGGTTATTGATCTAACGGAGGAAGAAGAATCTGAATATAGGGCTGTTCTTTCTGCTGTGTTTGAAGGCAAGCCAGTTGATCCTATTGCATCTAGGCCAAGCATAGACAATGTTGCTTCAACTTCTATGGAAGCTAGCATCAATAATAAGGTTAGTTTGGAATTTTCCTGTTATTTTTTTGTACCCAGATAACTCACAGGTAAGTACTAAAGGTATTCTAATATTCTTCCCCAGTTTCATGTCTTGCTGCCATTTCTAGCAATTATAGCGTATAGTTTCAATTTCTTACACAGGTACAATATAATGTGTGTGGGATCCTTTTACAAGTTCTAAAAATTGGTCACTTCTGCCCTCTTGCTGACACATTCAACATTTTCATTTTGTTCCGTGAATGATTTATCACTGTTCTATGATAACAAGTCTAGTCAGTAAGTATAGACTGAAGGCTTAGCATATTATTTGGAGGAACATTATAGATGTGACTTGAGAAGTATATGCTACTATTTGTACTAAATTTTTTCATGGTGCATTTCTCGTTATTTCAGGCCGAGTTTAATAAATGGGGAAGGATTTCTGAAACTGTTTTCTCTGTTAACAAATTACATGATTTATTTTGCATCATCTGTCAACTAGTCGAGCATGGAATTCATCTAATGAGGAGCAGTAAGTTACACAAAGCCATAACAATTTCACGTTGATTCTAAACCTCCTTGAAACATTGATAAGGAAATATCAAGCTTGCAAACTATTTTGTTAGATTAATGACTCGTTTCTGAACTACATACAGCTGCATGTAATTTTCATTTGTTTACTGTTTATAATGTAGAAACATCTGTAACTAATCTCCGTCTGCCAATATAAGATACCCACGTGTGTCCATCCACAGGTGCATGCATGTGAGCCTGGGTACATGCTTTCGCCTGAATAGGATAGGAACTGCTCAAAACATTCTTAATGATTGAATTCTGTTTCACAATCAGGTGCGTCTTTTGAGGACAATGCTTCAGTGGGAAGAGCAACTACGATCTGAGGTAAATCTTGGACAACCAAAGCTTGAACGAAAGTCTTATAGTAGTCTTGAATCCGTAGGCCTGGGGGAAGTGGTCATTGTATGTTGGCCTCATGGTGAAATAATGAGGTTAAGAAGTGGTAGCACTGCTGCAGATGCTGCAAGAAGAGTAGGATTTGAGGGAAAACTGGTTTTGGTTAATGGTCAGTTGGTAATACCTAATACAGAGCTCAAAGATGGTGACGTGGTTGAGGTCAAAGTTTAAATACACATTCAAAAGTCAATTGTAATTGTCTGGTGTAGATAGCAAGGAGAGGTAGATGTCATAGCCATTCTCTTGAAAATGTGATTGTTCCAGGGTTCAATGGAGCTTAGCATTCAATTTTATGCATTTAATGGCCATTGTAGGGTTGTAATTATTGTAAAGGACAATAAATTCCTCCAACCCCAGTTGGAGGAGACTTCCTTCCGTACATAAGTGTTACAAAAAATTAGGTGGACAAATGGTGTCAGAAACATTTATTGTTTTTAAAATGATTTTTTTTCTTACCATTTTTCTCCTATAAATATATTATTTTTCGTTAAAAGTCTAGGATGTTTTTACACATCAGAATAGCATAACACCTATAAGAGCATCTTCAATGCTCTCTTTATATTAAGATTTTTCTTTATAAGAAAGAGGCTTAATCCAAATTTCATTTCCAATGCTCTCTTTATCACAATCTTTATTTTTAAAATTAGTATAAAGAGTATCTTTGGCTCTCCAATACTAGAGAGTCCAAATGACTCTTTATCTTATATTTTATTAATGAAAATTACTATTTCCTATGCCACTCAATCTCTTAACCAATAGTCTCTATGGGTTTTATAGATTTTGTCAAAATAAAGAGTTAAATAGAGAGTAGCATTAGAGAGTATATTGATCTTCTATTTATATAATTAATGATACTCTCTATTTACATTAAAAATGCTAGCTAAAAGTAAAGAGCACCATTGGAGATGCTCTAAGCATAAGGAAGTTCATCCAATCCGGATTAGATGAAGCTATTGCCATTAATTTTGCGTAAAATAGCTATAAGAAAAATTCCATTTTTACTCCGAACGGTTTGCACGTCTCTTTCAAAAATTAACTTCGATAGATTTGGGTGCTTTGGTTTCTACGTGTGGCTTGGTTGGGAACTTGGATTTATGGTAGAGTTAACTAAGCTTAGGCAGCTATATGTAAAGAGTTTTGGATGAGCATGGATAAATTTCATTAGATGGTGGATCCAATAATTATCTTAAATTTCATTAGATCGTAGATTTTCCTAAACTTCACTCCAATTTAGATGTTTAACATGATAGAAATTGAAATATATGGACATGTACTTATTACTTGCCTATTATTAGCATGAACGTTTTTTTAGATCAAGAGCGGACCTTTTATTAATTCCCCAGCCATTAACAGTTTCTCAATATAGTCTCCAAACTACTGATTTTCTCCATGAGCTCCCTCTATCTTATATCATTTCCTCAATTGGGTCCCCTTATGGACATTCGTGAGTAAATGTTATTTGACCGTTAATTATGCACATGGTTACGCCGTCCAACCGACAAATTAGATTTTGGACCTCGTAAACTAACGAAAAAAGTAGAAGAAGAAGAAAAGGGACCTCAATTTATTCCCAAACCTACATATTCATTCTCCATTGAGTCCCAAGCCTGTAAATGTTATTAATTTGATGTCAAATGTTTCAAAAAAAAAAAAAAACTCAATTCATTAGCAATTGCATCATATATATTCTTCAAATTAATGTTATTTTAGTTCGAAAAAAATGATAATGTTTATTAATTTTTTCAACAAATTTTCTTCAAATAGAAGTCGTTTTAATGCATAAAAAAATATGCACATTATTAGACTTAAACTATTAGAAAAAAGATGAAAAAAGAATGCAATAGAGAAATGTAGAAATGTTTGGGACCAAATTAATAAAAGTTATAGGTTTGAGGTGTAACTGAAAATGAATAAATAGAATTGAGACAAAATTGGATTTCTCCAAAAAAAATTCTATATTTATACAAAATGTTTACATAAAAACAATTGAATTAGAACCAAATTAAAAAAACAAAAATTGTTTTAAGGTTGACGTAAAAGCGTCCACAAGGATTTAAGGTTGAAATTTTTAAAGCTAAATTATTTAGAAGGGCCAAAATAATTAGTCTTTAATTAATTATTTGGTTATTTTATTTATCATGTTTACTTTAAGGATCTTTATTTGTATTAGGACTTCATTTTGATCCTTAATTGGTTTGGATTCATATTTAATTAAGAGTTCATCTTTGTTGTAGAACCATAATTAAATAAAGTCCGTCTTGATTTAGAGAGTACATATTTAATTTGAACTAGGTTAATTAGTCCTTATTAAGTTTAGATTGAATTTTAAGTCATTTAAGTCCAAGTCAGTTTAGAGGTTTATTTATTTAGGAGTTATTTAAATCTTATGCATCCTAATTTGATATGGATACTTAGAGATAAGCCCTAATTTCTATTTTTTATTGAGGGATTTGGCCAATGAATGAATTTTGTAGTTCAATTTGAACAAGTTCTATCAACTTTAGTTGCCCTTTCGAGTATAGCATTCAAGCAAACCTTTTACTACTTTATAAGGGAGTTTTTGCCGAATATTTGATGAATAAAATTGAGAATTTTCTCTACTTTTTTTTTTTTTTTTTTTGCTTGGATTGTCTAGGTTTCCATGAGTATCCTTCAGAGTGACTGACTAAAATGGACTTTAGATCAAAATTGTACACGGCTTCTTATGGTGGTGCTCAATGTATCCGTAAGTTTTTTTTGGATGAATGTATATGTAAATTTTTCTAAATCATCCTTTTTTATGGTGTTATCTACATCCTTAAGGACAAGTCATTAAAATTTAAATTCTTTATTTTGTTGTGAATTTATCTTAAGAGAATTCAAATTAAATCCAAGATTGGTGCTATCAATCATCAAATGCCTGAATCATATTTGGGAGAGCTTTGGGTTGTCTGATTGAGCTTTACTTGTTCACTTTGACTAAACCTTTATTTGAGTGAAAAATAAAATTCAAAATACCAAAAATAGGAGAAGTAGATTCAAGTTTATTCAAATATTTTTAGGAGACTTTAGGGTTAACATGGCTTACATCTAGACGTCGCCTTGTTGAGATATTTGATTATTTAATCTATTTGAGGTTTATTTGTTGATTGAGGGGTCGAATTTTGGGTTAAACCATTCGGCCTGGGGGTAGAATTTGGTGCTTGTGTTTGTTTTCTATCTTTGAAAAGTTTGGACATCTCTCATTCCAGTTTTAGTTTGGTATCAGAACTAAGATTGATTTCCGTTGGTGTCTTGGCTGATTGTGGAAATAGAAACACGAAAACAAGTAGGTATGGTTGATGAACAAGATGAGGAATGGTTAAGATAGGATGTATTTCATACTTAATGCACATCTCATGGTAAAGTGTGTAACGTGATCATCGATGGACGGAGTTGTAGGAATCTGGTGTTAACAATGACGGTGGAAAAGTTAAACTTACCAGTTATTGACCATCCCAAACCTTTCAAGGTGGCTTGGTGGAATGACAATTTTGTTATTCAGGGCGATCAGGAGATGCCTAGTGAAGTTTTCGATAGGGAAGAAGTACTAAGAAGAAGTGAGGTGTAATGTAATCCCTATGGAGACATGCCATATTTTGTTGAGAAGATTATGGCAATATGAAAGAAGAGTCGTGTATGAAGGGTTCAAGAACACATACGTGTTCAATTTTGAAGGAGAGAAGATCACCTTAAGGCCTATGAAAAGATAATTTTCGTCCGACAACAAAACTAACCAAGAGGAATTAATTTGGGAGTCAATGTTTCTTAGGGTATTCAAAAAGAATGATGACGTCGAGGAAGAGGTTAAAGAAGCTGACTTCCTGGGTGCCAAAAACATCCAAAATCCCAGCAAAAAGGTTGATGAAGCTGACCTTGACAATGCCGTTGATGCTATAAATTGGACAAATCATAATCATAAAGCAGCAATTACCTTGCTAAATTCTAGTCGGTGAAGCAAATTACTTTCCCACCAAATATAAACACGAGGACCTATAGTATCATCATTATAATGTAGCGGTGCTGAATAGTCTTTCAAATTATTTCTCAACAAAATAACCTATATGCACACTTTCTTTCTTTTACGACTGAAAAACAAAGCAATAACTTATCAAACTGCGACACACAATGAATTTTACCAGTGCGAATATCGCCAGTATCAAGCAAATCAGAGGACCGGTTGCTGTAAGAGAAGCCAACTCCAGCAGGAGCTTCCAAGAACAAGAGGTTGGCCACAGAGTTCCATGTGAACTTGTTAAGGTACAACCCTGAAGCAGTCTTGTTGACTCTAAGTGGGTCTATTTCCTCAAAAGCACCATATGCCACAGAAGAGCACCCAGGACCTGCTTATGTACATGTAGAAGGAAAAGAAATTAAAACCATGATGTGAATGGGATGGGGCCCAAAAAGAGATACCAGATCATATTGTTTTGTTAGAAATGGTAAAAGATTGTGCCAATAAATTTGACGCCATATCACGTCTATGCCTTAGGATGATGTTCATAGCAACCATGCAGTCAATTTGGAGGAGCATACGACTATTGGAAAATCTTGATGATGTTTGAAAATTTTTCATACGATGATGACGTTCGTACGCAAGATAATCTTGATGACGTCGGCGAAGAGCAGCAGAATGTTTTGGACGTTACTACACTGTCCAAATACATTAGGATGGCACCCTAACAGAAGCATTATGGAAGATTGTATTGTAAGGAGAAGTTTTTAACTGTAGGTACACTGGAGAGACTTTGCTGTCCATTATAAGGAAGCTGGTTGTAATAGAAGTTGAGGCACGAGCTTTGCCAAATACATTAGCAGCTACCATTTGTCTTTGTGCGACGAGATTATTTCAATGAAGAACTTTTTTCAAAAATTCTATTTGAATATTACCATTTTAGGTGTTGAGATGATCAGGAGGGATTTATTTACTTCTCATTGGAAATCATACTTTGAACGTACAAATGGTTTTAAACCATGCTATGAAGGAGGTACTGATGGAGGAGAGAGGATGTTGAACGATGACGGATGCACTACTACACCATTGACAGATGCAATAGGTTAATTCATTGGTGGAATTGTCTTGATATGTCCTAACTTTAGACTGATATTGTGTGTCTGTCATAATGGAACAAAGAGAAAAATTTGAGATGTGCATGGCAGAAGTGCGCTCTAATGGCATGGCCATTAATTAGACACCAACCAGGAAAGAAAGATCCAACTTTCTTAACAAGGGAAGGGATTGAGACAACTCGAGTGTGGGATCAAACTAGTATTCAAGGAGTAGTTGAGTTGGCAAAGCAAGAGAGGACAGGTAACAAATCCGTGCATGGGAATGTTTTTGGTGACGCTGCTATAAGTAAGAGTCTTGAACATCACAGACTTCTACCGCTGGAGGCCAAATTCAGTTTGTTTGTTAAGGATGTTTACCAAAAGAAGGATGAGATGGAAATTATAAACTTGTCATCAAATTCCAATTGCAATGCTCCTAATCGTGCTAAGACATGTTTAATTTTCATTCAATTTGACAGTGGAAAGATTGCATGGAGTGTGTCAATGTTGGTCTTGGCTGGTAATGGAATTTCATCAAAGTATGGTTGTGTGAGCTATTCATCATCTTACCTTCGGATGAGTAGGCTTCGGGGCAGTAACAATGGTTCTTTAATTACAACATTTGTTTTCTTCTGATATTTATGACATTGGGAGGTTGCAAATCAAAGAGAAAGTACTATATATGCAACAGCGACAATAGCTTCTCATGCTATACAAATTTGGCAGACCAAGTTTTGCTTACCAATTTTACAAGACCCTATCTTCAGTGGCAAAGTATATTCCCATATGCAAAGCACTATGTGACAGAAGCTTATGTTTGATGTTGGGTTCATGGTGATGAAAAGAGTTACTGAAAACTTTGGAGTATATGGACTGAAAATGTTGATTAGACATTCATAAAAAAGAAATATTTAAATTTGAGATTGAGTTTTCTCAATCGAGAAGAGTGTATGACGCAGGAACGTTCACGAGAATTTGAGGCCAAAATTCTGAAAGATAGATTATTTAGAAGGGCAAAAGTAACTAGTCTTTAATTAATTATTCGGTTATTTGATTTGTCCTTTTTACTTAAGCATTTTTATTTGTATTAAAATTTTATTTTGATCCTTAATTCATTTGGATTCATATTTAATTAGGAGTTCATATTTATTATGGAATCATAAATAAATAAAATCCATGTTTATTTAAAGAATCCATATTTAATTAGACCTAGGTTAATTAGTCCTTAAGATTGTACTTTTAAGTCATTTAAGTCCAAGTTAGTGTAGAAGTTTACTAGTCGGTTGCCTACGTTACGTTGTATGTTCGGTAGAACAAAATCATTTTAAAATTTTATAATTTTTATTTAATTAATTTTTCTAATGTTTTTCATATAAATTTTCTACTTAAAAAATCACAATTCATTTTTTTATATATAGATTGATATTTAAATAAAAACTTGTAATAATTTAAATTGAAATATTAATCAAGAATTAAAAAAAACTTTAAAAATATATTTTTCATAATATTGTATCCCAAAAATAAACTTATAATTAATGGATAGACTTGTATAAAAATTAACGAATAAAAAAATTATTCTTATTTAATGTTGATGAGAAGATTAATTTCTAAAGTTATTCGCACAATGCTCGGATAGAACAAAATCATTACAAAAATTTATAATTTTTTATTTAATTTTATTTATGTTTTTCATAAAATTTCAAATTAGAAAAACATGATTTGTTCTTCGTTATTCATTGGTTCTTAAATAAAAATTTATAGTAGTTTAAACTGATAAAAATAAATACTTTAAAAATATTTTTTTATAAGAATGTATCCAAAAAATAAAGTTACAATTAACGTATAGACTTGTACAAAAATTAAAATTTATTCTTATTTTATGTCGATGGAAAGATTATTGTTTGAAAGTGTATGCATTCGATTTATATATATTTATTTACAAAATAATCAATAATATTAGCATAAAATTATATTTGAATAATCGATTGATTCTTGTAAAAAATTATTTTAATTATTTTATTTCAAAGAAATGAGTTCTATAATACTTTTAAAAATATATATTCATAGCAAATAATTTGTATTATTGGTGAAGATCTATAGTTACTTTTTAATAAAAACGATGATTCAATTGTTTGTTTTTATACGTCCGGATCATACTAGTTGATAGAAATAAATTATTTGAAATACACTTTTAACCTTTTAAATTAAATGAATTGTATATTTATATGTATGCAATTATCATTTGAAAATTCTAAGAATTCATGATATATATTATAACAATTTATTTTTAAAAAAAGAAAAAAAATCATATTTAAAATGTTATTCTAAAATTCAAACATTGAGAAAAATAAATTACATTTATCAGTAAATAAAATTTTATATAAAAAAAATATTAATTGGATGAGAATTTTCATAAGAAATGATAAATTCAAAGAATAAATTTTAAATAATAAAAGTAATATAAGCTAAAATATATGTTAATTTTAAAATATAAAAAGATATTATATATATTTTATCATCGCTACGCAAGTGTGAAAAATACAAATAACAATGTTTGATGTTTTGTCATTTTGACCTAAAAATTCTTAAATTTAAAAAAAAAATTAAAGAAAAGAAAATAAGGAAAAAGAAAGAAAAAACCAAGAACTTGGGTAGTGTGCCTAAGCCTCGAAGAACTAGGTCCGCACCCTTAGGCCTAACACAACTGGCCCACACGGCTTGGGAAAAAAATTATGTTCTAAATTTCTAGCGACCTTTGCAATTTCCTTCAAGTTCGATTTTATCAAAAAGTTGGGATTGTTAATTTTAGCATTCTTCAGACCTTATTTTTATCTAAAAACACTTCAAAATCATAGAAAAAACATCAAAAAACTCTTTCCGAACCTTAAAACCTATTTTAATACGCTAAAAATACATAAAATATTAAGGTGGTCGAAACAGGCATCATCATCCCCCTATCTCTCCCTCATTCTCTCTCCTCCTAGTATTAGGGGGCTAAAATAAAAGAAAAATGAAGTTGTTTATTTAAAAAAATGTTACAACATGGGGGAAAAATATAAAAAAAAAGGTGTTAAATTTACAAATCAATGCCCAAAATCACATAAAAATCACGAAAAGACTACCGAGTCGAAATGACTTAAATTGCCACCTAATGAACAGTATTTTAAGGCAAATGAATAATCTATATCCGGTTAGTGTAGGTGTCCAAGATTCAATCTTGTTTGGATGGTTTGATGCGTCATAACATTGCATTTTATATCAATAAAAAAAAATCTTTCTATTAATTCTTATTATTATAATTTAATAAAATTAGATAGAGGTTCATACGATATGTATTGCATTAATGATTGATTGAAAGATGTGAGATAAATATTAATGTGCTTAAATGACATAATTAAATATTCCAAGTCGTATCATTATCAATAATGGACATTGACTATATATGGTTAAACTTATGATTGCTATGCTAATACTATAAGATAGCAGTAAGTGATCTCATACTTATTGACATAGTGATGTCAAGATAAGCACTTAGGTGATTAATGTTAGAGAACATATCATTGGACTTGACTTACCATGAGAACCCATTTAGTTTAATCTATGAGAATTTCATACGAGGTGGGTACAAGTGGTCATTTGACTTGAAATGATCACAATTACATCATTAGAAGATTTATGTACTTTGACACTTGTTTCGATTGACCCGATAAAGGGTTGCATATGGACGATTCATTGGATGCACGAGGAATCTAATGAAAATATGTGGATGACTAAGATAAGACATATCATTTTTTGTATGCTAAATGAGTTATGACATTGCACTTCGAAAAATATCTACTTGAGAAATTCGTGGCCATATCGGAGTACACCAATAGAGCATAATTGGTTTACTCTAAGAGCTAAGATATTTGATAATCAAAGAAAACTTGTGTGATAAGATTGAATAGACTAATAATCAAGTTTGAGATCACATTGTGATAAATTGATATGATGATTGAATTGTGTGGTAACCATGCTCGCGAAAGGTAAGCTGCAGATTAATTATTCATCTTAGAGAATTAGATAGTCATAATGCTTTGCTAGAGGCCAATCTTGATTTATATATCAAGAGAAAAAGAGTCGTCTTTTATTCTTGATATATTGCCAACATATTTAGGAGCTTGTTGAGCCACACACATGAATTTAAGCATTCACATAATAAAAAGAAGTAAAGATTTTAGATAAGGTTTCCAATTTTGAAAAAAGTTTTCTAAAATAGAAAGTTTTCTATTTTAGAAATTAATTTTCTAATTTGAAAGTCGATTTCAAATTTAGAAATAAGTTATCTAAAAAGAAAATTAGTTTCCTAATTTAAGTTCAAAGGTAACTTGGAAAATTATTTTCTAACGTGGGCCTCTTAAAAATATCTAACCTAATGTATTTGGATAGTCCAAATTAATTAGTAATTAATCGAGCCAAAATAGTTTAGGCCAATAGGTTTAATTTAAAAGCCTAAAAGATATTTTGGAAGAAGAGTAATATGAACCTTATTGGATAAAAATCAAAGTTTTAAAGGATAAGATCAAAAAGCCTAAATGCATTATAACTTCTAATCCTCGGAGGACTATGAAGCAACAACTAAGAGTCCTCTTTGGCACTTACTACTGCCGCTTCCTTGTCCTTGGAGGAGAAGGATGATAATTCCCCTTACAAATAAGAGAGAGGTGAGACAAATAGAGTAATAGAGTTAGGGCATAAATAGAATTCTAAAAGAGAAAACATTAAACAAATCAAAAAAAGATAGAGCTACCACTTTACAACTTCGAGTGCTTTTTGTGTGGGTGCTTGGATCGCATAGATTATCGATAAAGGCTAAACACTTGGATGGCTCCTTTTACGTAAATGTTAAAATTTGTGATACAAGAGGTAATCCTTTACTTATGCTTTAATTTATTTATGTATGATTAGTTGATTTAATTATTTGATCTTGTAAGCCTTAGATGAATAAATTTTTTTGTTTTATTCCGCACCTCTATAAGATGCATGATCCTTTAGTACTAACGTGACCTATTAAAAAAATCCCTAAACCCATGTCAAAAAACCCTAACTCAATTAAAAAAAACATAACAAAATTCTTTATTCTTCTTATTCTTCTTATTCTCATCCTTAGCTACTACCCAACCAAATTCCACAAACTCTAAGCAAGCAAAATTTCATAACTTTTAACACTTCAAAATCTCATCTTACCAAGCGAAAAACAAAAAAAATGAAATTGAAAGGTCAAGTTTTCATTAATTGATAGTTAACTCATAAAATTTATATTCGACAACAAATTCAAGAAGTTAAATTCCTATTTATTGAAACAAAGCATAATTAATCATTAATTGCCCAAATTACAAGACTAGAAAAAAAGAAAAAAGATAGGCACGATCATCGCCATTACGGAGGTGCCAAAGCGAAGCAACAATACCATCATCATTGAAGTTCCAAAGGTTACCCACAAGGCTTCCACGGGTAGTACCATTTAGTGTCGTTGATTGTCTAGCCATTAACTCCTCGATCAACTTATGAACCTCATTTTCTTCCTTTGTAGCTTCCAAATCCACCACCACCGACTTCTTATTCTTCACCTCTCTTCTTCCACTTTTACCTTTACTCGACTCGTATAATTATTACTCTCCACATTTTGATTACAACCTACCAGTTACCTCCTCCGAACTAGACCCAAAATCATCCTTTCCAAAAGCAATAATGGGTTTGCTATTAAAACCACTTAAAAGGGTAGATTTTGATCCGGTTTACATCATAATCGTACCCAAAATCATAACCGATTACCTTCTCTCTCGTAGGCTTAAGTTGCTTCTTTACTTTACTAGTGTTAAATGTACCAAGCCAAACACAAACTCCTTTTTCTTGGATAACGGATCTTAGTCGCCTATTTACCCCAAGATAAATTTCTAATTGGATTCAAATTGAATGCTGCTCCCTTCGATTGCGATTTGCCCGTATCAAGTTCTTAGGTAGTTCTTTGTCCATCGAGTTGATTATGTTGGTTTGCTATTATTGGTGGATGACAAGAATGGTGTTTCCATGTTCACTTGATCGAATAAAGTAATAAATATTTATTAATAAATAAAAAGGATTGTTCAATTTTTATTTGAAATTAAATTTTAAATTTTAAAAATAAGCTAAAATCAAATAATTAAAACAAATTCGATACTTTTTTCTTATAAATTTGAATTAAAAATCAAATTGAAATCGATATTTTTATTCAGTTTAAACTTAATAATGCTTTTCCAAAAAGTTGCTCTATGGTGCTGACCTGGCAATTCAATCAAAGAGACCTTGGAGGAAGCAAGGGGAATAGTGATGTGAACTGAACCCATCGCAGCGTGAGAAGATCTGTTTAAAATTGAAATAAATATGAGCGGGAAAAATTCACATTTTTATCTCTTCTTTCCTCTGTCTCTCGTCTCTCTCTCTCTCTCTCTTTCTATCTCGCTCTCTCCCAAAAAAAAAAAAAAAATACAGGCGATTGTGAAGTCTCTCTTTCCGTTTTCCTCTGGATTTGTAAATATCACTACATTTCTGCGACGCTCAAGGTTCTCTCTCCATCTTTCCTTTATTTTCAAAATGAGGTCATAATTTTCCCTTTTTTGTTTTTTGTTTTTTTTTTCCAATTTTTTTTTTTTTTTTTTAGGTTTTGTTGTATATTCTTAAACATCGATTAACACCAAAACTGATCATCATAGGAACTGAAATTAATCAGAAATATTTTAATCAGCTGGGATAAGGTTAGGGTTTTACTTTACCCTGTTCTGATTAATTTTATTATTGTTAAATAAAGGAAGAAAAGAAAAAAAAAGAAAAAAGAAAATGGGAGTAGAGAACTATCACGTGATAGAGCTAGTTGGTGAAGGCTCGTTTGGGAAAGTTTACAAAGGAAGGCGCAAGTACACAGGCCAGGTAGCTGCTTCTATCTCTCTGTTTTTGTCTAGTAATTAATTAGTTACCTTAAAACAAATATTATGTTTTTACTTAAGCTTGATTTCTTTTTCTTTTTATGATGAAATGATAGACCGTTGCAATGAAATTTATTATGAAAAATGGGAAAAGCGACAAGGATATTCATAATTTGAGACAGGAAATTGAGGTGATTTTCCTTCTTCTTTTTTTTTTTTTTTTTTTTTTTTTTTTATGATATGGGATGTTATTAGATAGGCATTTTAGTATGCAGTGACTTTAATGTTGTGTTTTTTTTTTTTTGGCAGATTCTAAAAAGGCTGAAGCATGAAAATATTATTGAAATGCTTGATTCCTTTGAGAGCCCACAAGAGTTCTGTGTTGTCACGGAATTTGCACAGGTCCGTTTTCCATCCTAAGCACATTCAGAATCACAATAAGCATGCATCTCTGTTTGTTTTGGTTTTGGAAACACTTTCAGACTCACAAGGCACTTATTGTGGTTTCGGAACATGCTGAGGTTAAGGAAAATTTGTTGATGAGCAGGGTGAACTATTTGAGATACTAGAGGATGATAAGTCCCTTCCTGAAGAACAGGTTCAAGCAATTGCAAAACAGCTGGTAACTGCCTCAACAGCCATCAAACGAGAGAGTGCGTCACCTAATTTTTCATGACTCTTTTGATTCGAACTTCTTGCTGTTCATTGCTTCAGGTGAGAGCACTTCATTATTTGCATTCCAATCGTATCATCCATCGGGACATGAAGCCGCAAAACATACTTATTGGTGCTGGGTCAGTTGTCAAGGTTAGATATGATCATCTCCCCATATATTTTGGTTTATTTTCTACTTAATTTGTGCAACCCATCTAATTTAAATAAAGTCCATTTCTCGGTGACCTTTTCATTTAATGTCTTACTTGTTTTCCTATGAAGTGGAATCTTTCGTGTTTTGATGGCTGAATTGTTTCTTGTTGTTAATTAACATTACATCTTAGTGTTCTTCTATAAGCATTATATGCATACTTATCTTTTGCTATTTTTTCGAAGAGCTATGTAGCTGGTGGGGAATTACTACATTTTTTTTGTCTGTTACAGCTTTGTGATTTTGGGTTTGCACGTGCGATGTCATCAAATACTGTGGTTTTGCGATCCATAAAAGGTTTGGTGTTCCATTCTGTGGATTTTACCACTTTGAGGAATTTTGTTTCCCTCACAGTTCTTCACTGGTACATTTATTTACCATTCCCAGGTACACCACTATACATGGCTCCAGAACTGGTACGGGAGCAACCATACAATCACAGTGCTGATTTGTGGTCCCTTGGAGTTATCCTGTACGTGCAGTGTTCCCTTTTTTTGGTGTGTTTGTCTTTGCACACACACATTTAGATGTTAATCTCATGTCATCTTTGAATTCGATTCTGGTAATTGGAATTGTATCTGTGTTGCAATTTTCTGAACTAATTTTTTTTTTTCAAAATCTCACATTCAAGTAATTTAATTTTGGGGTGTTCTTTCATGACTTTTTTGGAATCAGTTGTCTATTCAGTGTGATACATCATTTAAAGATTTATATTGATGATATTCCTTGCATAAATATTCCAATACAACCTAAAGATATAATGTTTTGCTGAAAAAGTTTCAACTGTTATGATTAGTATTATTATTATTATTTTTATCACAGAATCTGAATGGCCTGTTAACTGCAGTGTTTCATCTACTTTCTGTCTTCTGTATTTGCTTTACACCCTTAATCGGAGCTAATTTGTTGTGGTCCCACCAGCTACGAATTATTTGTTGGCCAGCCTCCATTTTATACAAATTCAGTTTATGCACTCATCCGGCATATTGTTAAGGTTCATAATCCTTCTACTAGTTCATGCTTGAAACTATGGTGTATGATAGTAGAAGCTGATGTTATGTTCAATATCTCAGGATCCAGTAAAATATCCTGATGACATGAGTCCGGGTTTCAAAAGCTTTCTTAAGGGATTGCTCAATAAGGTACCTCAAAATCGATTGACTTGGCCTGCACTTCTTGAACACCCATTTGTTAAAGAAACCTCAGATGAGCTGGACACTAGGGTAATGTGATCCCATACTTGCAATTATTTTGGTTATATATATATATATATATATATATGTATGTATTAAGAATTAGAACTTGCTACTAACTTATATGACTTGGAAAAAAAATCCTTCAACCCATCTCTTTCTCTCTCTCTCTATACATATTCTCAGTCAGTAGAATATGGAATACTTTAGCACCTGATAAAAAAATCTGCAGGTAAAGTGTGCTGAAACTATTGTATCCAGAGAATGTGATGGAACATTGAGGGGTGAAGAAAATATTACACAAGCATCAACTGGTTTGATTGCCTCGAGTCCTGGCGGTATAGCCTCCACTAGTTCTTGAGTTTCAAAACCTTCATTGTGCTAAAATATCGTAAATTACTGTTGTAGGTAGAAGCAATACTGTTGCTGTTTTTGAGAACTGTAATTTTCCAAAGTTTCACAGTGGTGCTGATTTGAATTTTCCCAATGCAGCCACAGGCAACTCTTCACCGCAGGAGGAGTTCCCTGGCTTTGCAAGTCGTAATGGTGTTAAACATTCAGGTAGACAGACTACCATAATTTCGATCCAGTTTTTCCATTGACGTACTAGAAAAAAGAATGCTGCTTTAGATAGCAGGAAGCTGTCTGTTATTCTATTGAGTCTTGTGGTGATGCCTTGTATCATAAAATTGCTATAAAAAATGGATGACTCTTAGCCCAAGTTTCTGTCTAATTTAACTGTCACGAGTACCTGGAAATTGTGATGCTTTCATCATTCATTTCTTGCTCTTATTGAACTTTTACTATTCTTTTGTACTTGCAATTGAAGTCAGCCTGAGTTTGTATTTTCCTGCTCATGGAAATGTTAGATTGTATTTTAGTTTTGAACTATGTTTCATTTGACAGCATAGGAATACAAGTGACAGTGTAAGTTCTCATCTGTTAGTTGAACCAATTTGTTTTCTTCTAAATGAGGGATTACCCTTGTAGAAAACAAGGGCAAGCTGTTTTGCAGAAAATCTCCCCTGCCAATGACTACTCATGCACACATATGCATAAAATTGGAATGTAATTTGTATCATGATCATGGCTTTTTTTTGTGCATGGCTGATTCTAGTTCTTAATTACTGATTGAAACATGGAAGTTATTTCTGTAGTTATTTCTATCTTGACATGACAATGTTGATCTAAAACACGTTATTTGTCTTCAGGTAATCAGATATTGGATGAATTGGAAAGCAATTCACTTACTGTTAAAGGTGCACAAATGATTGGTCAGGATGATGAAGCATTGATGATCATTTTACTACCACTGAAAAAATGGTCAAAAGAATCTCTGCATTCTTGGAGGTGAAATTCAATGTCTTTTTTACTTGCATAATGAACAATTTTGTAGGAAGCATTGGATATTACTCAAACATTTTTACTCCAGGTAGTTTTCTGTTTTGGTAAAACAAATTCTAATATTGTTGCTTGTTTATAGCATAAAAGCATCATGCCCTACTTTCTACTGGATAAGACTGAGGAAGATATATGGGAGTAGTTGAAATTCACATGCATGGGTGAATATTTCATTGGGTTACATTGCATTAAATATTAGATTTTTTTTTTAAAAAATTTAAAATAATATTAATTCATCATGTAATGATTTTTTCCCCTCAATTTCATGGAATGACATGGTATTCATCATTTATTATTTATTTTGATGGTGGCTCAAGTTTTCTAATCAAAGTCTGTGACATGATTTGGAAACTAGATTGTATTTATGTTTGTTAAGCGCAAGCAGATACTAAACCTGAAAAAGAAGGAAAAATTGTTGAAATAACCTTTTCTAATAATAAACCAGACACTAATCAGATTCTGAGAAGTGGAATTTTTTTTGGAGGAGATGAAGTAATGATCATCAGTTGGAAGAATTGTAGGAGTATCCATCGCTTCATCTCTCTTGAACCAAAGGTGCTTTCATATTGATAATCGTAATCCACTGAGAAGATATGATATCTACTCTGAAATAATTCAGCAGTTTTCGTTCAAACTATATATATATGGATGTCCATGCATGTGGAACCTAATCTCTGGAGATTCTACATGCAAGAAATGAGTCAGAGCACAGTATCTGATTTGTTTATTATGCATGGGTTACGAGAATGGATAAGCTGATATAATGGGATGTCTAAACCAGTTCTTAAGGCATTTTTTTGATGGTCATTTTAGCATTACTTGATACGTGAATTGGAAAACTTTAACTAGTAACCACTTTCTAATTGTAGAGTATTCTAAAGACATGAAAAGACAGAGGGAGACTTAGAAATGCAAATCAGAATTTGGCATAGGTTTAAACTGTAGGTTTTTCTGATGATGCAATTTGATGTTCTTTCATAACAAAGATATGCCTTATGAAGACATCAGTGAGGGGATGGTGGCTTTGGTTCTTTTGGTGCTCTACTACAAGTATTTTACACATTGTAATGCTCTAGATAGCATGTATATTTTCAATAGCCTGACACTTTCAATGTTGACTGAATTTAGGCAAGAGGCATTTAGAATATTATTAGTTGTGAGATAAATTTGTTTTTCCAACTCATGCAGGGATCAGGATGTTTGTATTTCAAAGCAGTCGTTGAGAATTATTTCAAACTTAGCTGCAGCTGGTGCAGCTGGTGGCCTAGTTAATGAAATACTTTGTGAACTTCTTAATTTCACTGCCATTGTAATCAGCTTGAAATCCTCTGAACTTGGTGACTTAATAGCAAAGGTATGTCAGCGTAGGATTTCATTTATTCCTGCCTTTAGTTGTTTTAATTCCATTATATGCCGTGCCTATATTCCTGTAATATCTAGAGCTGGGTTTCTGATAAAGTGCTTCACATGACTATTAATTTAATTTTTATATAAACAAAAAATTGTGACAAATATTTTTTTTTCATTTATTTGTTCAATAAATGCAATTCACTGATTTCTCCTTTCCTAACAAACCGTTGAAGTTACAACTAGTGCTGATATGCTATGTTCTGAAAATTTTTTTTTCATTTCTTAAATTGTGTTCATTATTGAAAATCCAAATGTTGTTCATGACTGCATGCTTTTGATATTATCAACTTTCCACTCTGATGATTGCTGGTTGGCAACTCTATTTTCTTAATTTTGCAGAGTTTCTCTATAATAAAAATTTTGTTAGACAATATTGGGAGTGCCATTTCAAGTTCATATTTCAAGCACTGGGTTGCCTTAACTGAAATGTTTTCACAGGTAATTTTGTTCTTTCTTGGTTCTTATGCATGTATAAGTGCTAGTTTTTAATTCGTTGTAGTAAAATTTATAGGTTGTTGGTGGGTATGAAGACACCTCGGGAAGTGTTCTGTTTGAGTCCAGCGCTTGCATCACATCCACGTTATCTATTGTAGATTGTGGTCTTAAAGCAGCTTTGCTGACTTCAGTGTCTGAGGCAGCTCCTACCACTGTTGTGCATGAAGCGATGAAGCAGATTTTGGATCATGCTAAAACATGTGGATTAGTTGAGCATTTATCTCTTTGCTTAGCAACATCAGGCTCTAGTCTAGCTTCAGGTTCTTTGAACATGTTGCGTGCTGCCTGTGAAGCCAGCCAGGCTATGTGGTTATTGATTGATGCAGTGGAAACTTTTTACATGAAAGAGAATCTCTATTTGTTTCCGTTAGATTCTTTGCAGAGACATTCTTTACTCCATCTTGACATTCAGGAACAAGGTTCATTGGTTGGAACAGATTCAGCAAGAATCATAGATGCAGTGACGAGAGCATTTCTGAGATCAAAAGCTGTGCAGGTGGCAATTTTCTATTGCCTTAAGCAACGTCTAGAGCCTTCCCTCTCTGCTAGTATTAAGGTGTTTTTCTTACAACTTTATTTTCTTTCTTTTTTATTTTTCCTGCAACATTATTCAAAAAGTTAGCCTATTTTTAGAAGTTAAATAGTACATGTTAACATCATCCTTGGACAATATTTCACTATCCTTATAGTTGTTGTAAAGTGTTCTCTTTTTAATATGTTTCAGATCTTGTCAAGGTGTTGTCTACATAATGCGATGGTTCCTGGAGTTCTTTGTGGCTTGCCTAATTCTCTTCCTGTAACAACTGTCGTCAGTGGTGGAGGAGACAGAACTATTCTTTCGGAAATATTCTCCATTTTATCTTGGTGTGCTTCATCTAGTAAAGACCCTGAAACAATTAACTTAAAGAGTAAATTAGCGACTTCTTCCACAGTGGTCTTAAATTCGTGCCTTCTCCTTGCAATCGTTGCTCAATGTTTGAAGTCAACAGGAAGAAATTCAGCCTTGTTTATGCTCACAACTTCTCCAAAGAATCAGCTGTCCCGGCTTTCTATTATTGGCCATCAGTTTTCTCCTGATGACAAAATGAAAACTTCATTGCAACCTCATTGTGCATCGGCCATGCTGGCTTTCGCATCGATTCTATCCCTTGAAAGTGGAGCATCTGTCGAGTCTTCTGTCTCAGAAATTGCAGTGCCTTTGATTCCTCGAAGTGCTACGCTTTGTGAACACCTCAAGATTTCACCAGTTGGCGAAAGTGATGTAGTTCCTAACAACAGAAATGTTCTCTCATATTGGCATGGCCTTAGGGATGGTTGTGTGGGTTTGTTGGAATCCAGATTGAAATGGGGAGGTCCATTAGCTGTAAAACAGTCATGTGCAAGTGGCATCCCTCTGCTTCTTACTGATTTGTTAAGCAACAACCATTCAATTGCCTCTCATCAAGGAATTGATTGTGCAAAGTATCAAGTTGGGATATCCCCAATTGGAGTTGTATGGGGAGTTTCTTCAATATGTCACTGCCTTTCAGGTGGAGCCCTGATCTTTCGTCAGATTTTAGTCAGGAGTGAACATGTCAAAAGTATCTCTGAATTGATCTCAGATATGCATCTCAAGCTTGTAAAGAGTTGGAGTGGGCCAGGTGGAGGCAAGGATGGAGTCAGAGATACTGTAAATGCTGTTATAGATCTCTTAGCTTTTCCTTTTGTTGCTGTACAGAATGCTCCGGGCTTGCCATCTGCAACTGCTTCTGTAAATAGCGGGTTCCTTCTCAACATGGGTTCTCCTGGGGGTAAAATATGTGTAGAAGACAAGGACATGGTCAAAGCAATTGAGGAAGACATGGGAAAGTATCTAAAAATCCTTGTGGAGGTCAGATCTTGTTTTTGCTTCTATCTTTTCTTTCTTCATTTTTCTGCATCATAGTTTTGGATGGAAGGGGCCATTTTAACGCATGTGTGTTTTTTTTTTTTCACCATGTTATGACGAAGGTAGACAATATTATACATCACAACGCTTAAGAGGGCTTTTTGTTGCTCTTTAAAAGTTAGCAAATTTGCCTGACAATTTTCATTCAGATGCATATCTTTATTTTCATGAGTTCTACATAAGAGAACCTGTATATATTGCCTGTGCTAAAACCATTCCTTCTATGAATGATCTCATTCTATTATTTTTCAGGTGGGAGTGCCTAGCATCATACTTCGCTGCTTGGAATATATGGAGTTAAAAGATTTGGGAAGGCCAGTTGCATTTCTTGCCAAAATGATAGGCCACAGACCTATTGCTATCCAATTAGTGGGCAAAGGCTTGTTAGATCCAAACAGAGTGAAAAGATTGCTTGATAGCTCGAGTCCAAGAGAGGTCAAGCTGGATGTTTTGATGATTGTTTCTGATCTAGCACGCATGAATGAGGTTAGGTTTTACTGTATTTTTTTCGGTCTTTCTTTTTTATGAGCAATAATTCTTTTATTGAACATGAATTAAGTTACACTCATTTTTCCTAGTTAGTTTGATTTTTAGAGAAGCTATCTAACTAGATGCTTCCCTCCTAGTTAACACTAGTTGATGGCCTGTGCGTTGCCACGGGCAGACTTAAATATATGGAATTGAAGTAAAAAAATTATTAGTTTTCATTAACTTTATGATTTTTTGTCAAATTTTAGTATTTAGTTACTTATTCCTTTCCTTTTCTATGAATTTCCTTTTTTTGTAAAACAAGATTTATTTTGCTTTCTTAATGATTTTTTGGATAAAAACTTATTATAATTTTAAGAGCAAGTTTCAATCAAAAAGCAAAAAATATGCCTTCATAATTTCCATAAGATTGTATGAGGAAAAAAATAATTAATTTTAAAAAATTCTATCAAAAATTAACAAATGGAAATTTAATTTTTTTCTTCTTATTAAATATTCATGAGACAATTTTTTTTTTAAATTATGCATATTAGGTTCATATATTATTATTATTATTTATAAAATAATTAATAATATTAATTAAAAAAAACTTAATCTTAATTGCAAAATATAGTATTATTGGGTGAGTTTAAAAATAAAATTATTAGTTTTTATTAACTTTATGATTTTTTTGTCAAATTTTAGTATTTTGTTACTTCTTCCTTGCCTTTTCTATGAATTTCCTTTTTTGTAAAACAAGATTTATTTTACTTTATTAATGATTTTTTTGGATAAAAACTTATTATAATTTTAAGAGCAAGTTTCAATCAAAAAGAAAAAAATATGCCTTCATAATTTTCATAAGTTAGTATGAGAAAAAACAAATAAGTAATTAGTTTTAAAAAATTCTATAAAAAATTAACAAATGGAAATTTAATTTTTTTTCTTATTGAATATTCATGAGACAATTTTTTTTTAAATTATGCATATTAGGTTCATATATTATTATTATTATTATTTATAAAATAATTACTAATATTAATTAAAAAACTCTAATCTTAATTGCAAAATATAGTATTATTGGGTGAGTTTAAACATATAATGTTAATTATTTTATTTCATGAGATTAATTTCAAATAAATAAATGAAAGTAGGAAAAAGGAAAGAAAGAGTAGGGCCAACAATACCAAGGCTTGACAAGCTAGGCAAATGTGCTTGGGCTCGGAACGCAAGGTTTGCACATTTGATTTTTACTTGGAAAAAAAAAAAAAAAAACAATAAGAAGTAACTGTAGTTGATGTGTTGTCCATTGCAGTTTTGGCGGTAGTCCAATCCCTTGGAAAATCATGACGGCCACCAACTCTGGCTTTAAAATCCAAATTTTCAATTTTTTTTTATTACCTCAAACAACCTAAAAACTGTCCTAATAACACCATTTTCAACCTCAAAACACACTTTAAATAGCCTAAAAACATGAAAAAATTTAAGTCAAGTCTAAAAACTAATTATAATTTCTGGATTCCAATCTCTATTTTCCGTCTATTTTTGATCTTTTAACAACCATCAACCAACTCCTCTCATCAACCTGAATGCATAAGCCAAGACCAACTATTTTGTGGCTGGAAAAGACCTAGTTGGATTCTCTCCACACCCTCATCTCAATTTCTTCCTCCCTCCACTATTAGGGACCAAAATGTAAAACCAACTGAAATATAATTACTTAAAGGTGAATTTCATGAAATCTGGGTATTGAAATTTAAACACAAACTACAACAACTCAGAAAAGCCCTTGTACCAACAAAACTCTACAAAAATGCTAATAAACAGTAAATGAATAGTGTTTTGTGTCTTGATGCATGGGCAATTAAAAAAAAAACCCATGATTGAGTTCTAGTTCTTTGATATCATATTATATATAATTAATAATATAATTTTCAAAGAAAATATATATTGTTCTATTTTCCAATTTTAACTCATTTGTACATTTTCTATCTTCATTTTTTTTTTTTTTGGTTATTTCCAATATATCTTATGAATCCCAAACCCTTGGATCAATTCTAGCCAAGCATTGTAGTTGAAGTAAGCTGCCTCAATTTCTTGGTATTCTTTATGTTTCTTAATTCCTATCTTTTTATGGTCTCCATCTACGCAAATAATAATTGTATTTTAAACTCTTCCTTTATTTACTCAATACTTTCTTTTGTGTCTTGCAAGCAAGAAATTTTTCCCTCAGTGCCCCACATGTAATCGCCCCTAAGCATCTATAAAGGTTTATGACAAATAAAGAATAGAAGAGATGAATGTTAGACTAACAGTTTATTTGGGAAAGAGGTGAATGGAGGGGAATGGAGGTTAATGACACCTTAACCTTGTTTGGGAATAAAATTTTTAATGGAGGGGAAGGGGAAAGGAGGTTAATTTTTAACCTTCATTCTCCTCCAAAGTCTCAATCCCAAATTGAGGAGTAATGGAAGGGTAATTTTTAACCTTCATTCTCCTCCAAAGTCTCAATCCCAAATTGAGGTGTAATGGAAGGGAAGAAAATAGCTTTATACTTTTTTGACATTAACTTACTATTTTAACCTTATTTCTTTTTGAAATATCCAATTTTATCCTTTTAACAAATAAGCCCTTTCAACCTTATTTGTCTCTTCATCCCCTCACCTCCAACTAAAAGGGCACTGATAACATTTAATATTTATCACCTTTCCTTCTCTTTTATATATATATATATATATATATATATATATATAATTTTCTCCTTCATTCTCTTTCTTATTTATCCAAACAAGGGTAAACATGTTCCCAACAATTTTCCCTTCTCCTCCCCTCCCCTTCCCTCACATCACTTTTTTTTTTCAAACAAATTGTAAGGGTTCATTTAACTTATCTGTGAACAATTAAGAATATAATGGCCGTATGGTACTGGAGGAACAAAAAAAAAAAAAAAGAAAGAAACAGAAAAAAGGTGACTCAGGTGTTGGTAACTTGCAAGAACATTTGTGTTTATGACAAGGTCAACATGAAACCTATACATTTGTGTTGGTGCATAAATCTTGGTGGGCACGTGGAAGATCATCGCATGCATAAGAGATGAGCTGGTCGGCAATAATGGTCAGTTGATTGGCTACGATGGTAGATCGTTCGGCTATGGTAGTCAATTGTTTGGCCAAGGTGGTCAGGAGCTACCAATTAGATAGAGATCTTAGGTGACTCAGGTGTGTTCTTTGGAGGGCCACTCCGATGCTCAATTCAGTTTCATATAACTGATAGATATTAAGAAGGGGGAGCAAGAGAGAGAATGTGAAAGGTATTTTTGAGTTATTGTGAGCATACCTTTGATAGCAACTTAGACTTCTCCATATAGTGGTAGGAGATTTCCTCGGGGTTCCTTGGAGACCAAGTGTTGTTCAAAATTTCCAAGGGGCTTTGGTAACTTCATGATAGATATATTTACCTGTAACAATTTGATTTCTGAATGTTTAGGTTAGGTCATTGGCTATCCTGAGTTCCTAACCAATAAAAAATGGAAGATTTCAAACTGATCTAAACTATTCTTAATTCTGCACAATATCTATCCTCAAAAACAGGAAAATTTGTGGTGCTCAAATCCTGTCTTATTAGCTTGGATTTTCTGGGCTTGCAGGGTTTCTATGAACATATTAATGGGGCTTCTATATTGGAATTCTTGAAGAAGTTTCTCACACATGAAGATCCCAATATGCGTGCAAAAGCCTGCAGTGCTCTAGGCAACATGTGTCGGCACAGCTCCTACTTCTATGGATTATTAGTAAGTACAGAACCATAAATTTATTTGGAATTGTGTCAGAAACAAAATGATATTCTTGGGATTCACACATGATGAACCATTGTGTTACAAATTATTATGCTGTTTCTCACTGTTTAATTTGTTCTTCTAGGCAAGATATCAAATCATAAGTCTTCTCATTGATCGATGTGCTGATGCAGACAAACGCACAAGGAAATTTGCATGTTTTGCTGTAAGAACTATTATTCATGCATCTTGTTATCCTTAAAATTTGTTGCAATGACTGCACATTATTATTTTAAAAGATTTGTTAGGCAATATGGATTATTTTATTTTCTCGAAAGCAAACACAGGCAAATAAAAAAGAACTGTTATAATAGTAATTATAATGCGGTGTCATTAAGCATATAAATTCTCTCTCCAGATTGGAAATGCTGCCTACCATAATGACATGCTGTATGACGAGCTAAGAAGATCTATACCTGAACTGGCAAATTTGCTGTGCCCAGCAGAGGAGGACAAGACTAAAGCAAATGCTGCTGGTGCTTTAAGTAATCTTGTTCGAAACTCCAGCAAACTTTGTGATGACATTGTGTCTAAAGGCGCCATGCAGGTTTGGAGATATGCAGATTTGAGATTTCTCAAATTTACAGCAATTGAGTTTTCATAATTTACAGCATTTATATATTTTTCAATGCAGCATTATATAGTATGGTTTGTCAAACTTGCCTTTTTTTTTTTTTTTTTTTGTGAGCTTGAATGATAATTAGGTTCAAATATATCCCTTTTATGATCCCATTTTCCACTGTTTTCTTACAATTACGTCGTACAGTTGCACTGCATATTTTTTTTTGAAGAAAGTACATTATAAAGGACCTCATTCACTTCACTTGTTTTTGGACTTGTTATTAAGTAGTACAAAGATATTTTTCTATTATCTTTTTCATAGATATCATCATTAATAGCATGCTAAATTTTGACTTACAAAGATGGGTTTTATTTTTTCAGGCTTTACTAAAGTTGGTAGCTGACTGTTCAGGAGTAGCCCTAAACCCTGCTAGGAAAGATGCTGTAAATGAATCACCATTAAAGATAGCTCTCTTTTCATTGGCAAAGATGTGCGCCCATCTGCCCTGCAGACAGTTCCTACGTTCATCTGAGTTCTTTGCGGTGATTGGACGACTTCGGCAATCCCCAGAAGCAACAATTGCCAATTATGCCACTATTATCATTAGGAAAGTTGCTGATGGTTGAAGCCAGAAACAAAGGGGATAGATTTTCAAAGTTATAATCTCATTAGCTTGATTTCCACTAAATTAATGTGGTGACGGAAATGATAGTGAACTAGAAACTGAAAATAGGAAAACATTGCTGTGCAAGGTATAGAGTAAAACATGCAGTTTGTATCGTTCTCAAATACATTGATTAGTGATTATCCTATGATAAGATGTGTATTTTCAGAGTAGGCGAAACTCATTTGACCAACTTGGGGGTAAATGCACTTGGTTTGAGTTCTTCTCAGTTTGGCTTTTGTTGCATATATCTAGTTATCGTGGCGAAAAAGAAGAAATTAACTTTTGTTTTATTTTCTCTTAACGAAATTGATTCTTGCCCGTTTGTACGCTGAAAGGAGTGCAATAGGATGCTAATCATTCATTAATCTGATATTGCCACACATGATCTCATTAGGACCTTTTGGTTTAGGCTGAAATCAAGTTGAGGTAAGGTAGTCCCTGAAGCTTTTGTGCGTGTTGTGGTAATAACTTGCTTGGGAGCAACTTCCTTCCTCATGGTATGATTTTGACGCTATAGGTAACTGGGGTTCTCACTTATGTCCGCTTTCTCTTGGAGTAATTATTTAGCAAAAGAAAAACAAGGAAATTTTGTAATGAAAAAGGAGAAGGCCAAAAAAGAAACAAACATGATATTAGTAATTAACATCTTTAATTATTTGCTGGATAATTGAAAATGTTTAATACTTTTTGTATCAGGTTGGAGTAAGTCATTGTTGTCTTGGATGAGTTACAATTTTTTGTTGGTTTTATTTTCCTCATCTTTAAGGGATTAATGGAGTGATAAAAGACTCATTGCACAGCCAAAGGCGTCAATACAGCATTAGCCCAACCATATGACTTCCGGCCGCAAAGTCTGTTGGAATTTTTCAAGTTTTTCGGATATCAAAACCACAAGAATTTGGGTTTTTTTCGTTTTTTGTTATGTTTAAATTTGCAAGAACATGAATTCTCCAAAGTCTCAACAATTATAAATAATTTTAAGGGTAGTTCCAAAATTAGTCACATGTTCCGAGGATTAAAATTAAATAGCAAGATTAAAAAAAAAAAAAAAATCATCAACCCTTCCAAGTTGGAGACTTGGTGCGAACCTAAGGAGATGGGGGTCTGGACACTATATATATATATATATATATATATATGCATGAACTTTTATCTCTTTCTAACAAGTTCTAATATTTTCTTCTCAAATACTTATTTTATTGAAATTTGTACGTTATTTCAAATTTTTTAAAAAAATTATTTTTGTCTTTACTTTCTTAATATTCATGTACAAAAATTTCATAACAAATGCCTAAGAAAATCATCAAAAGAAAAGAGATTGCATAATTTTTCTACAATAAATAAAAGAATGCGCATCTTACTGCAAGAACGAGCACCACACACCTGCTCAAAAAACCAAGGAGGTGCGCGTTTGCTATAAAATGATCAGGGAAATCTTCTCCTTAAATTCGATAGTGCCAATCTTCTCCAAATAAAGACTGTCACTCCTCACCTGCACGATTCAAGTTATTTATTTAGCTCTCTTTAAAGTATGGATATGCTCTTGATTTATCTTAAACTAACATTATGTCTAATATTTTTCTCTTATGTCGTGACTTTCAGGAGTCATCAAGAACTAATTCCTAAACATTAAAGCTTATTTGTGAGTTTTGAATACAAACAAGTCTATTGCTCACAAACAGGTATTATGAAAAGTAATGAGAGAGTGTAGTTTAGAAGAATTAATGCAGGCTCGTAAAGACATGTCTATTGCTCACAAATAGGTATTATGAAAAATGATGAAAGAGTGTGACTTGAAAGAATTAATGCAGGCATCGTTAATGACATGTCAATTGCTCACAAATAAGTACTATATATGAAAAGTTATGAGAGAGTAAGGCTTGGAAGGATTAATGCAGGGCTCGTCAAGGAGTGCGACTATCAAGTTTTTAAAATTTGTTTGAAAAACAAAGTATAAACAAGGTCCCGCAGAGGATATTTGGTATAAACCTCAAACACCAAAACTAGTATACACTGGCTGGATACTGAAATTATGATGCGGATTTGATAGAACAAAATCATTTTAAAATTTTATAATTATATATATATTTTTTATATTTTTCATAAATTTTTTACTTAAAAAAACATAAATCATTTTTTTTTATGGATTGATTTTAAAATAAAAATTATAATAATTTTAACTAAAATACTAATCAAGAATTAAAAAAAATTAAAATATATTTTTATAATATTATATTCTAAAAAATAAAGTTATAATTAATAGAAAGATTTTTATAAAAAATTAACAAATAAAAAAATTCTTATTTAATGCTATGAGGAAATTAATTTTTGAAATTATCCGCAAGACGCTATAGACAAATAGAACAAAATCATTTCAAAATTTTATAATTTTTTCATTAAATTTTTTATTTAATTATTTGTCATGACCATAGGAGTGGGCTATGATTGACACGAGGACCAAGGGAAGTGTGAGGCCTATCTCGACGCAAGCAAGCCTCCGATGCTAATCTAAAGTCCTTAAATTAAGATCGAACTTATACTATAGTCCTCAAATCAATATCGCTCAAATTATCATTAAATATCATCATTCTCATAAATTAATAACATTTCCTTTACAACCTCGATACAATTCATACTTTAACATCCAAAATCAATATTCATAATCAACTCTTAATATGCTAACCATAGCTATAATCGTAAAGCATTTAAGATTACAAATTTAAACAAACATAGGTTCTAGGAAATTTACAATAAAATAAGCTACACGGTCAAGGTGCGGACTTTAAATCAAACATTCATGAGGAAACAATGAGTGATCCGTCGGTATCCTACAAGATTAAAATAATGAGGGATGAGCAATCAACAACTCGGTGAATAGATATTAAATAATGTACTAGGAAAGAGAAACGGACTAAGGATGTCTGCTCGACGAATTTAATCTTAAAGCGAAGTATATCGATGCTTTAATTTGTGATTAAGTCCTTCGCGATGAAATACTACGAGGTTCGATTATGCCTAGCAAGCCACTAGGACTTTCTATGGGTACTTAATTTAAAGGGTGAATAATAAAAATAAATGGAAACTTATCAATCGAAAGAGACAAAATTCATTAAAAGAGTAAATATCATAAATCGAAAGATATGACACTTACATTGTTAGCTATCGAGATGTTCAATGCCATTCTAATAGATCAATACTATACGGATACATCTACTCGGAAAAATAGTAAAGGACTAATGCACTACTTGCGAGAAAATAGAAACTAACTATTATAGGATAATCTAAAAAATTTAAACAAAAATTTATCTAAGAAGTCCGTGTTGTTGATCGTGTGCGATTCCGTTGGTCATTCCTCCTTAATAGCTTTTGATTAACAAATTCTCTTCATTTAAATTCAAGCACAAACGGTTATTAGTAACCGTCCCTTTGTTTTCTTCATGCATATTGCCTTCATCAAAACTAGTTGAAAGTAGTACCAAATGCATTGTTTTATTTAACTTTTGTAACTTTTTCGAAACATAATTGGTCACATGACCAAATGCATCATTTTACTCAAGGGTTAAAGCTCTATCGAAACTTGGTTTGCTATAAGACCAAAACGCATTATTTCATTAAAAACTTAAGACTCTGTCAAAGCTTGGTTAGTGATAAGACCAAATACATTATTTTATTAAAGTACTAAGGTTTTTCTTAAAACTTGGTTGGTTATAAGATCAAACGTATCATTTTATTAAAGTACTAAGGCTTCGTTAAAACTTGGTTTGTTGTAAGATTAAAACGCATCATTCCATTTATGCCTTACTATTTTATCATAAGAAGATAGCTCATATGATCAACATATGACCTTGATTTTTGAAGTGCCAACACATGCCCCCCTTTCGGACCTTTAGAGATGAAATGAAAAATTTCTTCCTCTAATGGGTAGAACATTAAATATTGATGGACATGAAAATACATTGTGCCTTTTCATTTATTGGACGATTACTCATAATCATTTTACTACCTTGGTTATCCAACGGTTAGTGGCTTTTGTCATACCTCTATCTAAACTATTGAATCTTAGCATTCAAACATCATGACCCTTAAAATGAATTATATAAAAGAAAGTATGGCTTGGTACATTTTCTATCCTTGTTTTCTCTCTATCATTCCATTGAACAACTTTTCTACCCTCTCGTTAATTCCTTCCTTCACTTCCATAACAATTGCTAAAAAAAAATGTCAAATCCTTAAAAAAATCTATTCTTGAAAAGATCACTTTTCAAGGGGATTGCTATCGATTGAATGAATTCTTCAATTAATCGAGTGCAATTGACGTGTGTTTGCTCCAGCTTATCAATAGTAACGATGTTATCGATGTCGTGATTAGACATAGAAAAAATTTCAAAGAAGAGCCCATACTAGGCATTAGGTCCTTCGTTAATGCCGAGGTTGCCCATCTTGCCAACATGATCGATACGACTTTCCCAAAGACTTATGATACTAGCATTCTCTTTTCTCCGCAGTTTTATCCAGCTTTGCGAAACTAGTATAACTATAAATTAATTAAACTACTACTATGGTTATGTGATTGTTTGATTGGTATGTTTAAGATACACCGTAGTATATAGAGCATACTAAAAGGATCGAAGATCTTAGGTAACATCGAGGTAAAATAAGAGAATTGGGAATCCTATGGTTATTGTCATTACTTGTGTGTGATTTAATTAAGCATGCACAATTAGATCGTTATTTGTATTACTAACCTAAAATTTGTTTGCCGATTAATGATTATTAACTCGGATATGTCGATCGCTTAATTATTATTTTTTTGTGAAGGTCGTGGTATTTATAATCATGTTGGTCCAAATCTTGTTTTAGACCATTTGTGCCAATAAATCAAACCTATGCCATTTTACCCGAAAAAATATGATTCTTGAGTTGCATTTGTCCGAATCTTGTTTTTGGACCATTTTTGTA